ATTCCGTGGCATTTCAGTGTTTCATTCTTTTTTTTATCTCTGTTCATCAGCTAAATGCAATAAATATTGCCGCGGTCGGCACGCATACTAAAGATTATACATGCATTCACGAAAATCACAGATCCGTAGTGTTTGTCAATAGATTATTGATATAAAAAGCAAGGCCGAAAGGAGGGGGGGGGGCGTGCTCCCAATAATTTTGCCGATATATAGTATACTATAGAAATCGTAGCTACTTTATGCTTGTGCTTGTGATAATGTTGATTTTTTTTTTTTGGGGGGGGGGGATCAATGAATTCTTGCTTGATGAATCGGGGTGATACTTCAAACTGAAAATATTTGCCCCCCCCCACCCCCCATCCCAACTAAAATTGCTTCCTACGGACCTGAAAACTGAAAGGCACACTTTTCATTATTACTTTAAAGTACATATTCAAATTAGATCTGTTCACAGGTTCTTGAATTATTTTTTGGCCACCCAAAAATATTATTCCTATACCTAATAACATTAAGTGTCTGTACCTAATTGCAATGCACAGAGCACACTAAGCTTGTTAATGGTAACCCATTCTCACCTGTCTGGAAGGAGGTCACATTTTCACAAAAAATACCTGCAGATACATGCATGGAACACATATTCTCGTATACAATGTGCCGTCACCAAAGCAGCTTTGTGGTTCAAGAGAGCACATTTTGCAGATAAATGGTTCAAACAAGACATAGCAAATATTCTGTTAGTATATATATAAATTGAAATAAAATCCTGCATGCAATATATAGAACAAGAACTTGAAAAGAGAAATGAAAAAGAAAGAAAAAAAACTATTTTAAGGCAATGACATTTAAATGATAACTGTAGAGATTAAGAAGGATTTCACCTGTTGGGTGATTTTGCAGCATTTGTTGGCTTTGTTTTCTGTTCGTTCACGCAAAAAAAATACCCCCCAAAACTTGGAGTGATTCATTTTACTGGTGCTGTCAATAGGTATTGTTTTAAAGTTACGTAAGTAAAATTTTTACAGAAAGAAAGAAAAATCTGTCTGGGATAAATGTGTTTTACAGATTTCCAGATGTCTGTTTCTAAACTAAATTTAATGATAGGGTTCTTAAAGCCCTAAACTGTTGTCTGTCGTGGTTTTATATTGATTTTCCAGTTAGACAGGCAACGGGGATGGTATGGTACAAATTGGGATCCAAATTGAGCAATTTTCTGTAATCTGGTGAATCAGTGCTGGATAAAAGCAAGCTGGTATTTGGTGTAATGGAGAAAAAGTGTGTAATCACTTAAAATGGAGAAAAAGTGTCTTCCTCGCCATCTGGAATCCACGTCATTGCGTCAGGCCAAGCAAACACAAGTTACGTTTTGAAAATAAATTTTAAAAAAATATATAAAAGCTTTTAGACAGTTCTAATTAGTGGACTGGTGTTCACAGAACTATTAGAGGTCTTTCCACCTCTCTTAAGTTTTTAACCTATGTATCTTTCAAGAGTCGGATATATCATGGAAAAGAAATAAAAAAAAAAAATAGTATTAAACCTTTTTTTTAATTAAAGTGATATAAAAAGCGTTGAATCTCTTAAAATAAAAGAAACCTTGACCTTTGACCTTGACCTGAATGTCAAAGTCGGAGGTTGAAGACCAATATCCAGTTGGATCCATGTCTCTAGGATAATTCGTTTTAAAAATGTTCAATTATATGTAAACAGTGAAAAATTTTAGGTTATAACTCATAAAAGGGTTCGATGAATTCTTTGCAATGTTTCCTCAATTGTTCGGTTGATCGAGGACAAATAGGTGAATTTTCGTGTCTCTGTAGTTTATTGCATCTACATTTGTATATCGAAATGAAACTTGGGGAACCGTTCATAGTTACATCTCAAAGTACATCGTCGAATACCCACAGACGATGTGTAAAAGACGAGATCACCCACGGGTATCCGACGATGCTCAAAGTAAAACAAGCAACCTGCCTAAAAATCCACGTTAGTTGCCTAAAGATATCACTGTCAAAAAGACTCAATTTTATGACCCCCTTTTTTGATTAACAATAAAAAGAAAGAAAAAGGATGCATGGGGAAAAAATAAATTTAAAAAACGAAAACTGGGTTTCTTTGATGATTAGTATTTACTGCCGAAAAGTTGTCATGAAAAGTAAATTACAAACGCGACAAATAAAATTTGTTTGAAGTGGTATTTTCATTAGTTTTATCGCATCTTTGCTTATTTTAACACCTACATTATTCACATTTGATGTGTTACCTATTCATTTTAGTTTCTTGATAACACAGCATTAAACTGGTCTTTCTTCATCGTTTTTTTCCCCACAAAATTTCAATTCCCAGACTTTATCAATGTAGGCGATGCTTTATTTGATAGAGATGAAAACATATTAAACTCTGCAAATGATTATTTAGCGACAAAATATAGCGCGACATTCTACACTGAAGTAGAAAAAATTCTTCGCTGAACGTTCAAATGTTTCATTAATTATTCCTCTGAGAGTAAACCTAGAATCGCGGTGGGTAGAGGTAATATTGGAATAAGTGCCTTATGCATCGCACATAAATAAAGTGAAACCATGGTGATTATTTTACAACGATCTGACTGGACAGCACTTTCTCGTCATAAAATTCAAACAATAAACAGACAAGGGCTTGGAATTATACATGTATGTGTATGGAAAAATTTTGCGTTTTATGATTTATTATGAACAATTAGTTTAATTTGTACAAATTTAAAAAAATAAATGACTGAAAGGTATTAAATGGAAAGTTGTCAATGATATTCAAAGTATGATGTTTTTTAGATACACTGTATATATGTATGGATTAGCTATATATAGACAAAAGGTAAATTGGGATTACCAAAACTCAACAATTGAATCATCTAGTATTCTTATGATGCTGGGAAGTTTTTGCCATGGAAACAAAGAAAAAAAGCAAGCGTTGATAAATTGTTTATAGCATTTCATAAACGCTTTTGTGACTGGCATATATGCCGAAGAGAGAGAGAGAGACACAGAGATTTGTGAACTTCCCCAGAGAGAGAGAGAGAGAGAGATTTGTGAACTCTTCCGCAGAGAGAGAGAGAAAGAGAGGGAGGAAGGGAGATATTTGTGAGCTCTTCCGCAGAGAGAGAGGGAGAGAGAGAGAGAGAGAGAGGGATTTGTGAACTCTTCCGCAGAGAGAAAGAGAGAGAGAGGGAGGGAGAGATTTGTGAACTCTTCCGCAGAGAGAAAGAGAGAGAGAGAGGGAGGGATCGAGACATTTGTGAACTCTTCCGCAGAGAGAGGGAGGGAGAGATTTGTGAACTCTCTTCCGTTCAGTCGTGCAGTGTTCATGACAGTAGACAGAATAGAAATAGTAATGTACCATAATTTGACCTTAAATTACATTGTACGTCCCAGACTTGTTTCAGAGGTGGTAGATGACCAAGGAACAAAAGTAAACTATTTTGGAGTCAAAACCACAAATTCCAAGGTTAAAGGCAGGGATGGTGTGAAAAATCAGAGACCTTTCAATCTTATACACTTTCAACAACGATGTGAAGTGATAACATGAAAAAGTATCAGGTCGTGTGTGTAATAAAAGTTGTGGGATAAATTAAGCAATGCCAGTTTCCTTCTTGGTTATATGTACATATAGAGATTTCAAGAGTGAAAGAAATTGTGAAATTAAAAATAACGGATTTTTTTTTTAATACTGTGAAATTCGGTAGAATTTGCTAAATCTAGCACACGTGGAAATGGATATTTCAGGTAGCCTATATACATGTATAAGGGGGGGGGTGTTAAATTTTAAATTTAAAATAACACATTTTAATTATATTAGCTCAGCTTTTCTATTTAACAACTGAATTTGTAGTTAATTTAATTTTAGGGAAAAAATGGCCAAGAATTGATTTTAAAAAAAGATATCAGATACGAGCCCTGAAGCAAAAAATAAGTGGCGCTTCATGGGACCACATACCTTCAGATTTCAACAAAATATTCTGTGTTTGTAATTGTATTCAAAATATTAACGATTAAGATCAAATGTGCTTGCGAACAGTTTTGCATGATTTTATCTGAGACAGACACTTAATAATAACGTGTATATATAACATTTTTTTGCATATACATGTACCTTTGAACAATGAGCAACATTTTTAAATAAACAAACTTGAGGGAGATGTAATAAAAAAAGAATGAGTTATCTTTATTACGCATTAGTGAACAACTTAGGAATTCCGAATGGCTTTTTTTTTTGTTTATTAGTATAATAGTAAGTTTCAAATTTCAAAAATTCTTTAAACTAGCCACTGCAACCTGTATAAAAATTTATTTCAACATTTATTTAAAATTATTATTTAAACTAGCCACTGCAACTTGTATTCCGCATTTTATTAAAAAAAAAGTATGTTCATGTTTCACTGTAAATTTTCCTTATTTAGTATTTCAAGATAGAAATGTCCCTCTCCATTCACAGATTAAGTGAAATATTGGCTGAATAGGAAGCACCCAAAACCTGAATGGTACAATGAAACATACTACATGCATCATATAGGGCATAGAAATAAAATACTTAAGAAGAAAACTGCTCCAAAAACTTTTAACCTGGGATGCCAATGCCTAGGTTACTACATATTTATTAAGCTCCCAAACTTCCTTGAGGTGAGCTAAAAACTTGTTCCTGTGGCAAAGTTGTGCTTAGCTGTTTTGACCCACATCAATTACAATAAAAAATTATCCGGATTGACCAAAAGAAATATTTAACTCTTAGGAAAATCATTAAACTATACCAAATACAAGATAATTTACCAGTCAATTGATAACCTATATCAAAGGGAAGTAACTCCATTTTCTTTTATTCTCTTCATCACAAGTCTAAGGAATATTAATTGTGGAATGTTTTTGAAAGTTCTACCAAATTTTTAACTTATTTAATGTCAGATTCTACCTCTTTGATTGCAATCATTTTTTTTTAAACAGGGAGTCAAATGAACACAATGTAATACAAACTCTAAAGTGGACATTTTAATGTTGCATGTCTATTTTCAATAATACATTAATGCTTACAAAGAATATTATCTTTCTAAATAAAATGATATAACTTACACTTCAGGGAGAAATATCATCTTTCACATGAAATGACATTACATAAACTTAAGCATCTACACACTTAATATACAAGCATGTAGCGAAATTGCATCAACACAACAAATTACAATGTACAATTCCCAGTCTGTCTGAGTCAAAACGAACTCAGTCTATCTGACTTCAAAATTCACATGTGACACATGATTTTTTTTTGAAACCACACAAATCAAAGTTCTTGGAATGACTTTTTCCACTGAATTTTGCCATAAATTTTATTCTAGAACTGTACATGCTTTCCTTGCAGTAATTAACACCACAAAATCTCTTTTTAAATTATCAATTTGCTTTAATCCTCTCCAACAGGAATGGCATCCTCTAGTCTTTTAATGAATTTGAGGCGAATTTCTGTGATGTTATCTCCTTTTAATGTATCTTGTACAAATTTAACATCCACTTCCATTTGTACCTGAAAAGTGTGTTCAAAATTAATTTTGTGTGTACTGTGTGATCATTCATCAAAAGAGAAAACAAATGTCAGAGATCATACACAGTGTTAAAATTCATACAGCTAAATTTTGATACGTGGAGAGAGAGAGAGAGAGAGAGAGAGAGATTAATATACCATTTCCAGTGCTGCTTTTAGAACACCGCACAAGAGATTAGAGAAGTTGAGCTGTGAGTGGCCAGGGGGTAGTTCTACAAAATCAGTTAGAGGGTTGTTCTCAATGAGAAGGGAGAATTCATCCCCTGCAGCGCTCCAGTTACTGACCACTGGCTGTATTCCCAGGTACATCTTAAAGCCCAGCTGTCAGGTAGAGATAAAAAGCATTATGCACAATCAAAGTACAAGTTCCTTATCCCAAAAAGTATATAAATAGAATATTCATAGTGATTTTGATCAATATTTGGATTCACTTTGTATATAATTACATCAGCATAACTGAATCCTTCATTTGTATGCATCATTGACATTAAACTTTTTTTCATAGCAAATTAAGACTTTTTAAAAGAACTGTTTTGATTTTTGAGAACATAAAATTATCAAAATGAAAGTGGAATTGAAATTATGATTAACATTGCATGACATAGAGTACCACCCTCTCCTAAATTTTGTTATGTTTACTGGGGGTATTCCCATCATAAGCATCACCAGTAATATCTTTAACCCTCCTCCCTAGCTCGTAAGTTATTAACAGACATCAGCAACAAACTGAGTAGATTTCAGCTGAGTAGTCTTTACATTTACAGTCTGTATTGCATGCTTTATAAGCCATATAAAACAAAGAATGGATACACAAAAAGAAAAAAATTGCAGTAATAACAAACATTTTTCTGTTTTTCCCTTAAAACAAACATACAGTTGAACTTCAATATCTCAAATCCCATGGATATGTCTAAGTGATTTTGAAGTCCCTACCACTTATTATACTGGATTTAAATCTCAATATCTTGAACCCTTGGATATCTCCTAATTTTTTCTTGGTCCCATCAAGTTTGAGATAATGAGGTTTGACTGTATCTATGTTCCTAATGCTTACCTTTGATATGACGTCTGCAGTTTCTCTAAAATCATTGCATCTTCCCACATTCGACCTTGCAAGAAAATCTTCTATTAACCTCACTCCAATGTTGTATCCCCTGAAAAAAACATATTCAAAATCTAATATTTAAATTCACATATAATAAACCATAAACTTTCTAAGTGTTTGAAGATTACTTCAGAGTTGATACTGCACATGTCAGATTGTTTCCAATCATATTTCTAATAACTCAAGATAAAGCCTACATTGCTTAAATGACAATCTAGTGATGATTCTGTAAACTGAGTTTTGTTATTCATGCCATCTATGTAAATGTATCTGTATGAAGTGTGTTCAGTTGCATATTTTGGTGTTTCAGACTTGTATGGTCTAAAGCAAAGAAATATCATATAGCCAAGCAACTTTGGCCAAATATCCTAGCAATGTTGCTGTTAAGATATACACATACTTGATTTTACTTTAGAAAATCAAATGCCAAGACATAAGACTACCTCGAAACACATAAAATTTTCTCTTTAGAATTGTATTTTTTGTTAAAAGTCTTTTAAGGATCCATCAAAGGTTTCTCTCCATGATTTTCTGTTATTTTTGTCTTAGAAAAAGTATTTTAAGACAGTGCATGTAAAATTTCTTCTTATTGTGAAAAGGTTTTCTAATTATTTAAAATTTATTTATGTTAAACTGAAAAATATTACATAATGTTCCACATCTGTCACTCTCTCAAGAGAGTAACTATTGCAAGGAAACCATGAATCAAGATATACCTACATTTTTTCCAGCTGTTTGTTGACTTCTTCATCATCTTCATAATCTTTCAATAACTGAGCCACAAGAGCCCCATACGTTAAAGAAAATAATTCACCATTCTGCAATTAAATCATGTAAATATACAGTTAAACTTTGGTATCTCAAATACCAAGGATATGCCGAAGTGATTTGGAAATCCCAATCCCTTATTCTGTTAGTATTTAAACCCGGATATCTTGAATCCTCTGATATCTCAATTTTTTTCTCGAGCCCATAGAGTTCAAGATAACGATGTTTGACTGTATCTGCATCGTCAGTCATCTCAAAATATATCAACTGTTTACATGTATGAATCTAGAGGATTAGGGGTCAAAATTAGCAAGAAAAACTGCACACATTTTCGCAAAGTCTTTTCCCTTGCTTCGAATTTATATGACATGTTGACACACTTGGAACTCTTTTATTGTTCTTCTGCCCCATACTACCCACAGATCTATCTCCATTTGGTACAAATGAACTCTTGCAGAAGTTTATTATCTACCCCTGTTTATTTTGCTACATTGCCAATACATTGAATGAATTCTTTTGTTAAACTGGGTCCATAACAGGTCCAGTAAAATCAGTACATTTGGCTATGTAGCCTGAATGACCTACTGTAGCTTTATTCAGCTACTTCAGGTAGCTTTATTTAGCTATTTCAATGTAACTTTTCACAATTTTGCTTTTTATTTAAAATAGACAAAAAATCACAAGTATTTGACTACTAATATTTATACTAGGAATATTTCAAAAAGCAATCCAAAGCAGAGAAAGTTAAAACATAACTGTTTTTGAACACTTTCAAGCAAAAGATGTATTTCCATTGTTTGAGTAACTGTACACCATCTTGTGTGCAGTGAGGCATGGATAAGTGTGATTACTTCACATTGTGCTGAATAGGTACCAATCAATTATCATGTTAACCAGAACTGGTCTTCTTTGTTAGTTCATTCGAGGTAACTGTTTGGTCACAAATTAACTGTTGTATATAGCCTCAAAGCTTTTCAGAACTTCGATTGCAATTGCACAGAAAAAGACATATCTTCAACAGTGTTTCTTTCATGAATTGTTTTCAGATAAGATTAAAGTTGAATATTACTGCATAAAAGTGCGATTTTCTGCACACCCTGAGAAAAATGCTAATCTAAGAATTAAGTATGATTTAGTAGCTAAATAAAGCTACTTCAGGTAAGTAAATAAAGCTATGTAGGTAATTCAAGCTATGTAGCTAAATCTAGTGATTGTACCAGACCTGCATTAGACATATCATATTAACTAGGGCTGAAACGATACGCCCCCTCCATGATATGGTACGTATCGCGATACTTGTGTCACAATTCAATTTTTTCAATATGATACGATAGTGTATCTAGCTTAAAATGTACAGAGATGTTTGGACAGTCTAACTCTGAACCCAATGCACCCCTTTCTGGTCATCTGAAACTGAGAGGCCAGAATACTTCTTTAATAAGATAAGTAGTCCACATATTGTCCAAAAAAAAAAAAAAAAATGTCCTTGAACCCTGACTTTTGTCCCATGATCAATGGGGTTGTTCTCCGATTACAAATACTAAGTATCTCCGTAACAACTTAAATATTTGTAGTTTAATATTATGACGGGTTACTTACAGGGGGAAAAACCCATAAAAAAAGGCTTAACGAGAAAATTCGAAATATGCAACTTACTACTTTACGCTGATCTACGCCTCTAGTTCCTTGTCTAGACATTTTTCGTGAATAACTTGAAACTGTTCTGATTATTTAATAACAATATTCTTCACTTCATATCGGTTAAAATGCCCTACATAATGCAATTTCTGTATTTTGATGTTCACGCCTCCAAAGTTGTATAGCAACTTCCGGTTATGATTGGATTCCTTTTCAGTAAGTCGTTCAATAAATATTCGTAATGTTAAAAAAGGCCCCGTCCTTCCCCCTTTATGAAAAGATGCACCCGTTTCATAAGCTTGTTTAAACTTTTACACGTTTAATCCTACAGTTAGTTATTTATGATATTCATATGTATCTTTTAAATAATAATTATGTTGTACCAGTTAAGAGGGTCAATTAAAAAAAGAAAAGAAAAGATGAAAAACCCCCAAAATTTGAATGTAACAGGTCGTAGGTGATCCTAAAATCTTTCAAAATATATACATGATATTCAATTCATGGTACGAACAGAAAAGTAATCAATTCAAAATACATTTTCCTGTTATTCAACAATGAATTATGAAATTTTGGTTCAAAATTGTTTTGAACAAATGAATTATTCGTATCAAGATGCAAAATTTTTCGATAATTTATCTCTTCAATATTACTTAACAAAAGCTATTCCAACCAAATATAAGAAGTAACTAATAAACTTGTAGTATATTTATGTTGATCATATCATAACCTAGCTTTTGAATATGGTTGTTACACGTGTACAATACCACCAGTAAATAATTGATTCTGTGAAATATACCATTATTACATGTATAAGATATTGAGGATAATTTCATTTTATATCCTAAAATGCCCTCAATTTAATTACATGTAGTGGCATTAGATGTCAAATATACATGTATTAAGAAATATAACGGGAAAAAACTTCAGTTTTCAAGTTATTTCTGCTGATCAGTGTAAAAAATTAAAGGAATTGTCACTTGTGTAATCTAGACGTCTACCTTAATACATCCTTTGGAATTATGTGAATGTCATATAATCATTTATACCATACCACACAATGCAATGCACTTTTATATGTTTGTTGTAATGACTTAATGCTATAAGATGCATGTCTGTGTCACTGGGTCATCGTTAAAGAATATAACGCTGGATTCGGATTTATGAAGTTTTACTGAGGATAACAAAGAAATGAAACCAGGTATCCAGTATTATAAAATATGAAACATAATTATCAAGGCATCGTGAAAGTCGATGACTTCAAAAGTAACATGAAAGTTTGGACCTCTTACACCGTAAAGGTAGAAATCTAATAGTTATTTGATTTGGCGGGATAAGCGCTTATGTAGTGCACGAAGTTAGTATACATGCAAATTAATTATCAAATAGTGGTCTGTCATTGGTCCACTGGTCGTATTCGTATACCTGGTCAGTTTGTAAACTAAAAATAGAAATATCATGTGACAAAACAAAACATTCACACAGACGGCGCTATGTTTGATTAGCAATGCGCGCTAATCAAATATAATTTATTAACAAAATATTTAATTAAATATCAACTGTGACATCTGGGTCAATAAAAAATAAAATTAACGTAAACATACTTTCTTCCACAGGGTCATAATTCCGAGGAATCACAATTTCTGTTCAATGCGGGTTGAAAATCAGGCAGATTTTTGGATTGCCATTGTTTGTCTTATATGTACTTTATTATACATGTAGTACGCTGTGACAATTTTCAGCCGAGATTTACTGACTGCGTACATAGGGTAAATTAATCCCACATGGAAAAAAGTCTACAGTAATACATTTTCCCATCACAAGTATATGATCCAGAATTAAAGTTAAGACATCTAGTCCTTAAGAATTGCTATATCTGAGGAAAAAGTGGAAAATAAAGGTCATTACATATGCACCCAAAGCAAATATATTCAATCATATCAAAACCTATTCCATGAAATTATGGTAAAAGTCCTACATTTTACTTGGACCAAAATTTCATGGAAGATGGTTTCGTATTATATTGTACTAAGGATGACACATCTGACAAATGCTTTAAAATTCGAAATCATTTTTACTCTGAAACTATTTTTAAGTGAGTTTAAATTAAAAAAAAACCCAAACAAATTCTTGGCAAAATATATTAAATTCACTGTTTATATTTACATAATCAGAGCTGTGCTATACATGTATTCAGTCTTTTCTCCCTCTACAAACAGAAATAAAATATTGTAAAATAACTGGTTCCCTAGGCTTTACTGGTCTCTGCAGCAGCTTCTCTCACCCGCTTCTGTTCCAGTAAATGTTTAAGTCTTAGTGTATCTACTTGCTCTTGACTGCAGCCACTCAATGTTCGTCCCCTCTTCTTGATTTCTCTCCCTTTCCTGATAATCGACAAAGCAAGACAGATCATGAAGACGACACCAATGACATTGACCTTTATCCTTGAAATAGTCCTCATAGCAAGGTGCTCACTGCGCCTGAAAAAAAGTAATAAAACAGTAGTAATGGTATTACTATTCAAATGGTATTACTATTCAAACACATCAAATAGACTTACGTTATGAATTGAGGAGGTTCTTCTGTCCAGCTTAATTTTTTGGTAAATCTTGCCATTCGGATCAGTTTGGGAGTCATTCTTATTCTCGGATCTTGAAATGCTTCAATGAAACAATTAATGGGTAAATAAATTGCAGTACATTACTTGTATTAAATAATTCATTTTCTGAAATTTACTCAGAACAAGATATAAATGCACACACATTATATATAACTGAACACAATGTCTTAACCTATTTTCTTATGATTTTTTAATTTCAATTTCTCAAGCATAGTCTGAACCGACTTCGCTAGTCTAGAGTTTCTGATCTGCTACCTTGGCCTACAGTGCTATCAAAAGTCGGGATTGTATACGTCATGTGATCATAAGAAATAAAGACCGTTTTTAATTAAATTATTTCAAGAATAATTAAAAAGCAGATATCGAGCAATGTTTATTTGTTATTTAGGGTGCAAATCTATATCTGCAATGAAGATTCCTGATCACATTATGATGATTATGTGTACATCAGCTCAAAGTTGGATGATATCATAGCTATTTACAGAGTAGCATGTTATCTTACAGACAATTGTTTACCTGTGTTTTTCATTCATGTGACTTTAGAGTCATGATATATCCCAAACGGAGAAATCTTCATTTACAAAAGCACTAGCTGATTAGTTGAATGATATCAATAAACTCCAATCAAAACTCAAGAAAAAAAATCCTTACTTTTGATAGGCCAAGGGTTTGTGAGGAGAGTAGCGGATCAGAAACCCTTGGCTAGCGAAGATAAGTCTTAAGTTAAGTAAATGTGTGACTTCTGATGCAATTAAAACAATTCATTTAAGATCATACAATGCCCCGCAGTAGTCTCTGATTGTTGGAATAGACATCGTACAGGTATATTGCTCCTTCTGCTACACGACTCTTTCACTGGGTGTGTCCAAAGTCCGTTACACGGGAAAAGTCTAGTAAACCTCATGCTCTCATTTCACCTTAAAGAGACAGATTTTATTATTAAATTTTATTGCCACTACAAGCAGTTACAATGAACATGGATATTTATTAAACTGTCAGCAAACATTGGGTTATCTTACACACAAAGATTGAAAAACTTATTTTTTCCAAGTTATACTTTAAAAATAAGCACAAAAATTGAAAAAAATTTGACTGCTGTGCCTGATCCCCAGGTAAGAGTCATCATCTAATATACAAGTCTCTGATTGGAAGTATACATGTGGCTGCATTGATCTGTTGATTTGAAGGATCCATGTGTGGCGATCAGATGCTGACCACCACACATGAAAACTTCAGAGTCAGAGGGTTTAACGCAATAGACAACTTTCAAATTTACAAGAATCATTTTCCTTTGCGGGGTCAATCTGGGGTCAACCAGCATATCCAATGCTGGTAGACAAACTTTATGGAGTAGTGTCTTACAAATTAAATCTGTATGTATATGTTCATTACGTTTTCTTTGATGCCCCATAATATTAGCAATTTACACAAATGCTAAAAAAATGTCCAAAGGCATTTGAATGTTCAAAGTATTTACAGGTGAGTTACAAAGGATATGTAGTGAGAAAAATGGCTGTTACACAGACAAAAGGAAATAATTACTCTTTAAGAAAGTGAAGGTCGTCTTTGACAATTCGGACCATTGACATCTTGGCCCAGTGACACTTTGGCCATGTCTAATCAGCCTCAACTTTTTGACACTCTTACAATGTCAAAACAGTCTGGACAAACCGGTCCGAGTTGTCAATTGGTCAAAATGTCTGGTTACCAAACAAACATCTGAATAAACAATGATAAAAAAGGGGTAGACTTTACTTTACCGGTCACCAGATCCGCGCACTCATTGCACAGTATGACATAAGATTTACGTCACTCAACTGATTAGGGTTAGTTTTGCACATTTTTCGACTGGTTAGGGTTAGTCTTGCAACCACCTGAAAGATTAGGGGTAGTCCTTGCACAAGTTTTCGACTGATTAGGGTTAGTCTCATATCCATCCGAGAGATTAGGGTTAGTCCTTGCACATGGGTTAGTCTAGCATCTGCCTGGGAGATTTCGGTTAGTAGTCGCATACCATCTGAGAGATTAGGGTTAGTCTCTTGTTCTTTTAAATTAGATTAATTAAGAAATTCATTTGCATCTGTATTTTTTTGCAAGATCTTAATTCATCTTCAACGACATCTCGTTGGTTTGTTTACATGAAAAAAATGGCCAAGTACGAAAGAAACGGCACTAAGCATGCACTGCACATGCTTCGTTGACAATTATTTTTGGTCTCCTTTTCACTGAATAAACAGTATTTATTACTTTTTTCAGAGAATGAAGTCAAAAACAAAACTTTTAACCGTAAAATTCGAGGTCAAAAAGGCTTAAAACCTCATACTTTTTATTTTTTTTTAGATCGCTCACACGATCTCATATATATATTAAAGTCTCCTACGACGACACTATATTTTAGCCATAGGGGCTTGCTCCCGGTGTGTAATAATTATTTATTAAAAAAATCACATATGGTAATACTAAAACAACACTAGGGAGGACGCCATTTTGGACCCCTTCCTCGCTTCAACCTCTGTTTTCGTTATATTTTCCCGTATTTTACTGACTCACCGCCTCGGATCTGTCAAGTAATGATTCTTCTAGGACGTAATGCTTAAATTTTCCCCTTGGAGCCTCTACAATACACATTTCATACTAATAATATTCTAAACTCGCTCTTTAGGACAGTTGATAGGGACAGAAAACGAAAGTAACCTCGGCGTTTTACATTCGAATACAGAATTAAAATGCGTTTTTTTTTTTTCAAATTTATAATTAGCAGCTGTGTTAACTAGTAGAAAAACCCCAAGATTTTCGCATGTGTTTTTGTTTTCTGTCCCTATCAACTGTCCTAAAGAGTGAGTTTGGATTATTATTAGTCTGAAATGTGTATTGTAGAGGCTCCAAGGGGAAAAGTTAAGCATTATGTCATAAAAGAATCATTACTTGACAGATCCGAGGCGGTGAGTCTGTAAAATACGGGAAATATAACGGCAAGCGGTAAATCTAGTCTTCCCGACTCCCGACGGTCCCGGATTTTGGTTTTTTGGCGATTTCTTTTTTATCGATGCACAGAAATTTTTCAAACTTTTCAGGCACCTTTTCTAACTTTAAATGAATACAAGAAAAAAAAGGGAAAATGTGGGCTTTTTGTGCACGCAAATTAACTGGCATGTAAATGAGGTTTTCTCTTTTATTTCTATAAACAATTATACTTCAATTTGTTGTATTTAATCGCGATTCTACGAAAACATCGATGTCCGTCTTTGGTTTTCGCATTTATAACAGAGTACTAGATTTACCGCTTTTTGGCAGGTGATACTGCCGATTCAGTATCAAATACGTAAATTTGTTCAGGTTTTTATGTATTAATGAATTCATTTAAAGTTAGAAAAGGTGCCTGAAAAGTTTGAAAAATTTCTGTGCATCGATAAAAAAGAAATCGCCAAAAAACCAAAATCCGGGACCGTCGGGAGTCGGGAAGACTAGATTTACCGCTTGCCAAATATAACGAACACAGAGGTTGAAGCGAGGAAGGGGTCCAAAATGGCGTCCTCCCTTGTGTTGTTTTAGTATTACCGTATATGATTTTTTTTAATAAAAAATTATTACACGCCGGGAGCAAGCCCCTGTGATTTTAGCGCGTTTTTCTGGGGACCGGTAAAGTCAAGTCGTTCCTTAAAAAGTACAGGATATCTAAAACACACCTTTAACGAAGATATGGGCAAAAGAAGTTAGAAACAGACACTGTTTGTCTTAAATATCTCACATAACGCAAAATTCCAAGGTTTTTCACCAGTGCAAGATCCTTAACCTCAAACTGGAAACAGTTGAAATAACGAAAAAGTAAAAGGACAGCGTATTCAGAATATATCTGGAAATAATTTCTTTTTAATTTCTTTGTTCTTTCATGGTGGATTTATAATATATATAATAATAGGAGCATGTTGCCTGAAAAATGTATCCAGAAATTTTTGTGAAGATTTTTTTTTTTGGTATATTTTTTATTACTATTCCCTCTTTCCGGAATTCTTTAAGCCATTCATATCAAACTTATTTTGTATGTTGCTGAAATCAAATGAAAAATGAAAATAGAAGATGAGGTTCATTGAAAATTCATGAGATTTTAGCCATGGATATTTAATTAAGCAACTTCCTGTCCATCACCGTAGGTAAGAAATGCAGAGAGCTGATACTTACACACAACTTATTTAGTCCACTGAACTTTCGTTTATCAGTCCCATCAGATTGATCAGTTGATAACATTACATTAATAATTTGAACAGATGTTATGTAACCCATTGAATAAGTAGACCGGCCCACTTACACAGGAAAGAGAGAATTCATGTATTGTAGCAGGTTCGTTATAAAATTCAATATAGGCCTACTTTTACCTCTACTGGTAAGCAGCCACCTTCATAATGCTGACTATTATGCCATTCTTTGGTTGGTCTTCAAGGGCATCTTATCCGCTCTGTTCTCTATTACACATATAATAAGTACATGTGTATTTATTATATGTGTAATAGGAAACAGAGTGGATAAGATGCCCCTGTGGTTGGTCCGAAATGTCTGGCACGTCAAATATCAAAATTGTTAAAAAGCCTGGAAAACGTCGGATATTTCGGACTACTCTTGGGTTAATCTCGGTGGAGATTCGGCTGGGCTAAATATTTGGTCTGACGCCCACCGAATCTCGGGACAGTCCTTCATAATTCATGTCTGGAGATTCAGCCCCAACTTCGGTCGACTATATCAAGAATTATTCACCTAGGCGACACTGCCGTTCGCTTCAATTAAGTCAATTAGTAGTTTAATTAACTCTCTGTCACTATTATTTCTACCTTGCTTACCGTCTAGGCATGTAAATCCCAACATAAAAACATTCACTGAAATATCCGTTCAAAATATGGCTCCCCTGACGTAATTGTTTATCTCCTCGCACTAAAGAGTTCCTCTATGGTCTGTTTTCATTTCTATCAAAAATACTTAAAAGCCACAGTAAAGGTTCAGTATCACATAAAAGAAAACAGACTGTAGGAACTCTTTAGTGCGAGGAGATAAACAATTGCGTCAGGGGAGCCATATTTTGAACGGAGATTTTAGCGAATGTTTTTATGGTGGGACTTATATGCCTAGACGGTAAGCAATGTGAAAGTAGTAGTGACAGAGAGTTAATTAAACAACTAAATGACTTAATTGAAGCGAACGACAGTGTCGCCTAGGTGAATAATTCTTGATATAGTCGACCGAAGTTGGGGCTGAATTCCCAGACATGAATTATGAAGGACTGTCCCGAGATTCGGTGGGCGTCAGACCAAATATCTAGCCCAGCCGAATCTCCACCGAGATTACTCTTGGTTGTGCATGCACATATTTAAAAAAAAATTAGAGAGTGTTTATTTACAGGTAAGTTTAAAAAAGAATTGGTGATTATTGATGGACACGAGCCTTGAAGCAGTCAAGGTTCGGGGCCACCACAGTAGAGGTGGGTAGGGTGTTCCACTCCTTGATGGTGTGTGCGTAGACTAGCTATCATACCTTCCTGATGGTTCGACAATGTATTTCTGATATAGATAATAGGAAAATATACATGTAGATATTATAATTATAAAATTGAAATTTGTGTCCCTTTAAATTAAAATATGTTGGTTTAAAAAGAAGCAACACCAACATTTTTACCTATATTGAATTCAGATATTAATTTATTAAATATTTGTATAAGCATGATGAATATTTAGTCAAATAATGTTTTGTAATGCATATTGAGGGGTTGGAAAGTGGGTGTTACATTTCAATTACATATTTGACCCAAGTGGTTTTGATCCATTTACATGTTTGACTGGAGTGGCTTCATACCTAATTGAATAAATAAACAATAAAAAAAAATAATGTAAATTTATTCATTTGAGTTCTTGTCTACACAATAAAATCTTAACTTATAATAAACAAAATCTTTTATTAATGTTAATTAGAAAAATAAGTTTATACTGATATCAAAATATAATGTAAATATTTAAAACATCTGATATTAAGGATACATCAAAGGCTTTTTTCAAGATTTTCAACAATTTTGAGATTTTTGGCTAAGAAAAAGAAGTTAATCACTGCTTTATAATGCAATAATGTAAAATTCTTGGTAATTATGAAATGGTTTTCTAGTTATTTAACAATAATGAAACATAAACACTACCACATGTGAATGTTCCGTTATTGAAGCTTCTGATTTGATCTGTGACTGCCTGCTCATGAAAGACGCAATAAATCACTGTGACCACTTGGGGAATTCTTCACTAGCCACACAGAGGTTATCAGTAATTAAACTACAGGGACTCTAGATTTAGAGAAAGAGATCTAACAGATCACTGATGACATTAAAATAGGAGGTGGAGCTTAGCTCTTGCCATTTTGCTGGGAAATCTTTCAGATTCAGAATTTAACCTATTTTACTTAATTAAAAGCATCAAAATACAGAAAAGAACCTCCCATTCTTGTGAATATGCATAGGGAATATGGCTAAGTGACAGGTATCCAAAGCTGAATCTCCAAGGTGTCATATATTCCTAGCTTTGGCAGATTTTGTTGTGTAATGGGTTTTTGCCCTCTACTGTAAGATCAGACAGTTTGTGGTATTATTTCAAAGGATTCAGCTCCCTTATTTATTAACCAATTTCTCTGAAAATTGGATGGGTTGCTTCTCAAATGTGTGTTGACAAAACTGTATCTCAGATTTTTAGGTCACCTGAGTCACTCAGGTGACCTATTGCTATCCGTTTTTGTCCGTTGTCGTGCGACGTGTGTCGTGCGATGTGCGTTAACATTTGAACATTTTTAGCTTCTTCTCTAAAACCACTGAACCAATTTCAACCAAATTTGGCATATAGCATCTATGGGTGAAGGGGAACAAAAATTATGAATTTCATGGTCCCTGCCCCCCTGGGGCCTGAGGGGTGGGGCTAAAACCACAAAAATTAATGTAATCTTTAAAAATCTTCTTCTTTACTCCTGGACATCAAGCAGTCAAACTGTTGGCATGATTGTAATAAGCATTGAGCCCTCTACCAAAATTGTGAAATTCATGGCCCCAGGGTCAGGGGTTCTGGTGTTAGGGTGGGACTCTATAGATCATATAGTGAAAAGGCATTATTTCTTTGAAAATCTTCTTCTCTGCTCCTGGGTATTGAATAAAGTACCTAAGTACATAGTTATGATGAGCAAGAGTGCCTCTTCCAAAATTGTGAATTTCATGGCCCCAGGATCAGGGGTTCTGGTGCTAGGGTGGAGCTATATAGATCATATAGAGAAATTGCATTATTTCTTTGAAAATCTTCTTCTCTGCTCCTGGGTATTAAATAAAGTAACTAAGTACATAGTTATGATGAGAAAGAGTGCCTCTTCCAAAATTGTGAAATTCATGCCCCCTGGGACTAGGGTTCTGGTGTTAGGGCAGGGCTCTATTGACTATATAGTAAAATTGCATTAATTCTTTGAAAATCATGTTCTCTGCTCCTGGGTATTAAATAAAGTAACTAAGTACATAGTTATGATGAGCAAGAGTGCCTCTTCCAGAATTGTGAATTTCATGCCCCCGTGGGTCAGGGGTTCTGGTGTTAGGGTGGGGCTCTATTGACTATATAGTGAAAATGCATTAATTCTTTGAAAATCTTCTTCTCTGCTCCTGGGTATTAAATGAAGTCACTAAGTACATAGTTATGATGAGCAAGAGTGCCTCTTCCAGAATTGTGAATTTCATGTCCCCTGGTTCAGGGGTTCTGGTGTTAGGGCTGGGCTCTATTGATTATATAGTGAGAATACATTAATTCATTGAAAAACTTCTCTGCTCCTTGGTATTAAATAAACTAACTAAGAACATAGTTATGATGAGTATGGCTGCCTTTTCAGAAATTGTGAATTTTATGGCCCCTGGTTCAGGGGTTCTGGTGTTAGGGTGGGGCTCTACTGATTATATAGTAAATTTGCATTAATTCTTTGAAAATCTTGTTCTCTGCTCCTGGGTATTAAATAAACTAACTTAGTGCATAGTTATGATGAGCATGGTTGCTTCTTCCAAAATTGTGATTTTCAAGGCCCCTGGGTCAGGGGTTCTGGTGTTAGGGTGGGGCTCTATTGATAAATGTAGTGAAAAAACATTAATTCTTTGAAAATCTTCTTCTCTCTCCTGGATATTAAATAAACTAAGTACATAGTTATGATGAGCATGGCTGCCTCCTCAGAAATTGTGAATTTCATGGCCCTAGGGTCTAGGGTTCTGGTGTTAAGGCAGGGCTCTATTGATTATATAGTGAAAATGCATAAATTCTTTCAAAATTTCTTCTCTGCTCCAGGGATGCCTCTTCCGAAATTGTGAAATTCATGGCCCCTTTGTCAGGGGTTCTTGTGAACCCGGGGGGGGGGGGGGGGGGGGGGGGGGGCTCTATTGATTATTTAGTGAAAATGCATAATTTCTTTCAAAATATTTTTTTCTACTACTGGTTATAAAGCAAGGAAACAAGTGTATAGTTATGATGAGCAAGGGTGCTTCTTCCAGAATTGTGAGTTCATGGCCCCTGGGTCAGATGTTCTGGTGTAAGGGTGGGCTTTATTTATTTAATAATATAGTGAAAATGCATTTCTTCTTTGAAAATCTTCTATGCTTCTGGGCATATTTGAGGCAAACACAATAAAAAGTTTTAATATGCAAAGGTATTTTTACCAGAATTTTGAACACCTGGACCATTTAGTCAAGTGTTCTGGTCCTGGCCAGGGCTCTATTAACTTGTATTCTGCTGAGCAAAGTTATTCCCCTTTGCCATTCGTCTTTGATAATTAATCACTGTAAACAATGTATTTGAAAGGTTAATAGAATACGAGAATTATGCAAGAATATTTATCGTATAATACAAAAAGTACTTTCATAGTTTTAATGATCATGTAGACTTGTAAATAATAGATGAATAAAAATGAGACAAAAATAATTTATCTTTTTAAATGTTCTACAAAGGCCAAGAGAGGCCAATGTGAGAAGTAATAATATGGGGTTAAAAAATAGACATCTTGTTAATAGTCTGCATGGTAATAGTGATAAATGGGGGACAGATAGATACTAGACCAATTATTTTGTTGATACTAGTCTATTTTACTTGCTTTTGGGCAACAAAGCTTCATTTATCAGTTTATGGATCCTCTAAATTGTATTGTACTCAGGTGACCATTAAGAACCTTGGGCCTCTTGTTGATATCTAGCTTAGTTTTGGAATTATTGAGGAAAATGTTAAATTAGACTAATAGATTGGTAACAATGAAGTGCAAATGGCTGTAACTTTTGAATTAGAAGATCTATCAAAAATCTGAGATACAGTTTTTAAGTTCAATCTTTAATCTATCTTGAGGCAAAATGACCACTTTGAGGAGTTAAATACAAAAAAGTTGATTTATAAAATATTTATGCACTAAAATTTACATTAATATTTAAACTTTTAAAGCTTAGATATAATTTAATGAAAAATAGCCACCATTTTTAGTGTTTAATCATATTAGAGGAACTAGATAACATTCTGGCATCAGTCTGTTCAATTTACCAAGCCAATGATTTAAACAACTCAGCTGTCTGGATCATGGACAGACAAAATGTTCAGGCTGATATAAAGTTGACCTTTCACTCTTCATTTGTAAGATATTTATTCTATTTACATGTTCTATAATATAGCTGTGTAAACAAAATTTATACATTTGCTCCTAACAGGTTAGGCTCCATGGCAGAAGGAGGTATTATTTTAGAGAAAGAAGGGAAATTCCTGGAAGATGATGCTAAATTTCCCTGTCTTATCTGTGGTCAGAAGGGACTTACCCAGAATGAAATGCGTGCCCATATAATGATGGAGCATGTAGAGCGAGACATTTCCTGCCCGTTTTGTGACCTTAGTGGAGTCACATCTAATGAGATGAATTTACATATCAATAGTGCTCACCTATCAGAAGAGGAATCTGCTCAAGCTAGTCAGTCTAACACCTTATCTGCTAAAGTCAACGACTCCCCAGATTCTGTACCTAGTCACACACTGGAAGCCATATCTCAAGAAATACATTCCAAAAGCAAAGGCAAAGATAATTCAGCTGCAGATAACTCAACTGCAGATAATACTCCGTCAAAGATCTCAAAGGGAATGAAATCCACAGAGGTTAAAAACAAGGAAAAAGCATCCTCCAAAAATCTGAAAATATCTGAAGATCTACAGTATGATCATGACAAAAGCTGCAGTTCAAACAGCCAAAGTAATCTCACTCAGTCAAACGATGGATTAAAGAATGTCCAGGCCTCAGATGGCGTGGACAAAAGTCATTTATTCCTAGAGGTTAACCAGCCAAGGGAGGAAGTTGGAGTTTTAAGATTGACTCAAGGTTTCAACAGTTGCCATACCATAGAAGGTGCTACAAGAAGAGGCACTGCACAGAATGGAGCAGGTTTCCATGGCAATCAAAGAAATAACCCACTGGTTGTGCCAGATATCAATGATAATGTTGAACCTGATATCAACTCAAATATTCCTGGTGAATTTCCCTGTCCTATGTGTCAGTTCAGTACGATATCTGAAGCAGACATCCAGACTCATGTAAACAGAGAACACCTAGATATTCTAAGTCCATGTAAAGGTGGTGATTATGAAATGGTTGATGATGATTCTGTTCCAAGATGCCCACTATGTGGAGCTTTGATGAATTCAGTTGATGAATTACAAATTCATGTCAATATTAGTCACTCTGATATCCTTAGCCCAGATCAACCAATGGATATGCAGGAAAAATTATATCCACCAATGAGAAGAGAAGAAAATGTTGAAAAGCCAATCAGAGGTAAGAATGGGCCTGTTCCACCAATGGCAACTTTTGATGGTAAAGATGAGGATGGAGAAATGGCTGCCTGTAGCAGAAATTGGAATGAAAGAAGAAGCTGGCAAGAAATTGTCACTTGTCCTGTTTGTGATCAAGAGTTTGATGATGCAGCCATATTGGAAATTCATGTGAATGGTCATTTCTCTGCTACCAACACACCAGGTGATTATAATTCTTGGTATTTGGAATACAAAATTAAGTTTTATTTACATGTTTTGCATTGTTCATTGCTAGATATTCATTTATATTACCGTATACATATAATTATGTAAGTGGAATTTTTAGCAAGACACAAATTTAGCAATTTGTTCTTAAAAATCAGTATCTATTCTTGACAAGAAGTAATTTTATTATGCCTAGAATGATAACAGTAACCTCTAATGTGAAATGAATTGTTTGTGATATTCAATTTTAGTGATCCAAACGCCCTGGCTAAAAAATGCCAAATTTGAATCCTTGCCAATATGCTTATATGGAAATGATATTTGATTTTGATATTTTCCTGATTTTTTATTGGCAGTAGTAGAAAATGACTTTGCATTAGCTCAAGAACTTGGAAAATCTGAATACGAGGATCAGGAGCAAAGACAGTTTGAAGCCTTGCAGGTTTGGATTGTAGCAAACAGGGAAAAAATTAGATATAACAGAATTTTCCATTCATGATATGTTTACAGCATATAATGCCAACGATATAAGTGTGCACATAATTTTAAGACAGAAAATAATTTATAGTTAGGAATTTTTAGACTAAGTATTGTGGATTAATCAATTCTATTCTTTAAAGTAATGTGTAAAATCTAGTTCAGTTTGATTTTGAAAATAAAATGTTTTCATTTCAGACAATGTATGGAATGAAGGGAAACTCAAGCTACAAGAAGCAGTATGAACGAACCTTGGAGAATTCCTTCACCAAAGGTGATCTAAGTATTACTGAGTATCATCTGCGTAAACAGAGCATGAAGACAAGAGATCTGGCAGGCATGGAGGACGGACACTCCTGTACTAAAGGTATGGATCTAAAGTGGCCTGTCTATAGAAATTAGAAATTTCTTAAACTTGATATCTTAACTAGCCCCCACTGCAGGTGATCTATAATGATCAGTCTGTCCATCCATGCATCTGTCCCTCTGAGATAACTTTTCCTGAGAATATTTTCTTTCCTCTTGGCTCAATTTTGCTCAGACTTCACCCATAGAGTGTCTGTGGGTAAAGAGTCTGTTGTAACCTTGAACCAATTTTCTAGATCAGAAGTTAAGGTCATTGTAGATTTCTCTGTAAAATCTTTGTCTTGAGCATATTTTTCTCTCCCCTTGACCCTACATGGCTCATACTTCACTTACAGAGTGATTGTGGTTTAAGGGTGTGCAGTGACGTTGAACTAATTTTCTTTGATCAAAAGTCAAGTTTAAAAAAAATCTCTTTAAAATCCTTGTTTAAACCATATTTTATCTCCCCTTGGCCCCATTTTGTTCATACTGCACCCTCATGGGTAAAGATACGAGTCAAAAGACAAGGTCAAACTCCAAACAGAGTCCTTTACAAATCCCTTTTATCTTTTAGTAGAGCCCTTTAAGATGCATGGCCACCATTCAATGTTACAGTCAAACCTCATTATCTCAAACTCAATAGGCGGAGAAAAAACTTTGAGATATCTGAGGATTCGAGACATTGAGGGTAAAATACTTAAAGAATAAGCAGTTGGGACTTCAAAATCACTTCGACATATCCATGGTATTTGAGATATCAGTGTTCGAGTTAAACTGTATTTACTGGTAGTTAACCTTGTGATACTGATGTTACATGTACCCCATGCATGTAAATTATAAAGATAGCATTTATGTGGTACTGTACTACTCCAGATAAAATTATTGTGTTTGGAAATTATTTAATAATCACATCAGATATATTTTTTTTATTATTAAAAATTTGAGGATACTTCAATCTGAAAAAAAATTCTTTAAAAAAGAAAATGAAGTATAGTATTGTAAAAAAAACTAGTATTAATTGTAACGGGGACCGTTACAGATGTTCCCCAAACGCTCCCCAACACCCTTTTGGTGTCATTTCCTGTAAGCTTCATTAAATAAGGCAATTAAGTATATTGGTCATTTAACGCATTTCACGCACGTGCATGCATGCATGTGCAGGTTGACCATGTCATTCCGTCTATACTATAAATGCATCTTTATATTCTCAGTATCAAAACATTTCATCAAGAAATATATAAGTTCCGGCTATATCAAGTATATTGGTCATCTTAGCATTGCGCGCACGCGCACCTGTATGCATGTTCATAATGACCATGCCATTTTGTCTACACTTATAATATGTCTGTTTATTCTTAGTATGAAAGCTTTTCATCAAAAAATATAAAAGTTATGGCTATATTAAGTATATTGGTCATTAAAGACATTGCACGCGCGCGCATGTGCATGCATGTGCATAATGGCCACATCATCTTGTCTACACTTTTAATATATCTGTATATTCTTAATATCAAAGCTTTTCATAAAAAAATATAAAAAGTACGGCTATATTAAGTAAATTGGTCATTTAACACATTGCACGTGCGCGCACGTGCATGCATATGCATGATGATCATGTCGTCTTGTCTACACTTTAAATGCATATAAATATTTTGAGTATCAAAGCATTTCATCAAAAAGTTTCAAAATTACAACTATATCAAGTAAATTGGTCATTTTACGCTTTGCGCGTGCGCGCACGTGCATGCATGTGCATGTTGACCATGTCATCTTGTTCACACTTTTAATATATCCTTATATTCTGAGTATCAAAGCATTTTATCAAAAAATATAAAAGTTACAGCTATATCAAGTATATTTGTCATTTTACGCATTGCACGCGCACGCACGTGCATGCGCGTGCGCGCAAAATGACCTTCGTTCCGCAAATCTACATAACATGCCTAGTAACCCTAAAAAGGTTTCACCTCAATCGGATGTGTAGTTTCGGAGATCACTCACGGACAAAAAAGTACCCAGGAAGAAAAATAATAATAACTAGAGCAAAGCTCGTAGCAAGGCAACGAGTAGGTCTTCCGTCCTGTTTTGACCGGAAGTGACGTCAACAAGAGAAAGGAATGAGTTTCGACGTCTCCAGTGACTTTTAAATTACAATTTTGCATGAAAACCTGCAAAATAAGCTATTTCTGGCTACTTCCGGTTTGACCGGAAGTGATGTTGAGGGATGATAAATTTGGTTGGACGCTTTTGGTTACATAAACTAACCAATAACATGTCGAAACGGCAAAAATATGCATTTTCTGACTACTTCCGTTTTGGCCGGAAGTGACGTCATTTGACGACTTTCGACAATCTTATTCACTTCTACTTGTCATTTTGAACAAATTTGCTTCTTTGATGTATCACAAATTCTCAATAGTTTTTGAGATTTTGAGAAAACACTTTCAGCCCCTGTAGATCCCTTATTTTAGGGGTCAGCCCCTAATTGTTTTTATCAAATGAAAGAGCTTGCCATTCTGCACAACTTTTTTTTCTATATGTTTTAACAAAATATTTACAAGTAAAGAGATATTCTTGCAAAAATGCTATAAATTTTGATATTCTCAATAAGAATATTTTGAGCATACCGAGCGTCAAAGTGCGGTACTTCTGGAAAAATTGAACTACCTAGTACATATTTATGAACATTGCTCTAATCATTGCTGAAAATATCAAGTTCCTATTTTAAGTGCTTTTTTAGAGTGACCCTCTAAAAATCAGTTAATCGCAGAAATCTCCGGACCGGAAGTGACGTCATCAAAATAAAACATTTATATCTAGATTTTTTTTATTTTCTACCAGACCTGAAAGTTTCCTAAAAATCAAACAACCCGTTTCCGAGAACTCGCGTGCACAAAATCGGTAGGAAAAAAACAATAATAAAATTATGCCTGGACATGTTTTTTTTATTTCTCTGCAAGTGACCTTGAACTTGCCAGAAAGACCTTTGATCAAGGTCATGACACAGCCTCCGTTCATAAGGAATCTCTGTTTCAAGTAAGAGCTTCCAGTGATTTTCTATTACTAAATCATAGCATGAAATAGAAATTAATTTTTTCTGTCAGTATCCTTGAACTTGACGGAATAACCTTGGATCGGTGTCAATACTAGCAATCAATCTTAAACAACCTCTGTTTTAAGAAAGAGGTTCTAGTGATTCCCCCTTAGAAATTCATATCCCAGCAGGCATTTTACAACTTTTTCTGCCAGTGACCCTGAATTTGCTGAAATAACCTTATTTTAAGTCATCTAAAGCCAGCGGACCATAAGCAATCTTTGTACCAAGTACGACCTTAAAAAATTACAGCCTAGATCGTAATCATACAATTTTCTTTGTCAAAGTCGAAGCAAACCTTTTTGTCACAAGCAATCTCTGTATCAAGAATGAGCTTCCAGTGATTCTCAATTACAAATAAATGGCTCGGACAAAACATTTATTCTTTCTCCAGTGACCTTGAATTTGCCGGAATGACCTTGGATCAAGACCACGACACACCCTAGGATCATTGGCAATCTTTGTACCAAGTATGAGCTTCCAGTTAATCCAAAAAGTCATAGCCTGGGAAAACTTGGAGGGACAGACGGGCAGCTAGACAAACGGATAGACAGACGGACAATATGATTCCTAATCCCCTCTCCCCCCAGCCCGGACACTTCGTTTGCGGGGATTATAAATTCCTATGTTAAATTTTGAACACCCATTCTGATTTAAAAAAAAATAATCTTCACTATTTCAGGGAGATATTATAAGTATGTTTTCTCATTCCGCCCACAGGTTTCTAGAGAATAAGTTTTTAAAATGACCCTTTCCAATTTTTACTACTTGTATTTCTTAATTATCTGATGTTGGAAGAGAATGTGGTCATTAATTTGATCGACAACGTTTGGTTGGTAATGACCCAGTGATTCTTGAAAAGATCAGAATAAGAAAAAAATTACAAGTACCAGGTTTACAGCGACAAAGTCGATTATGCTCACACCGAGAAAGCCAACATCGAAGTCGGAGAACAAACAGATTATGAGCAGAAAATCTTACTTAGCCTTTGGCATAAGAGATGAGGTACTGATTAAAAATTGAAATTATTTTTATATTCAATATTTTTTTTAAGGACGATAGTTATCAAGATTTATTAAGCTCCCTTTTTTGTGTATGAGTGATAGAACAGAAGATCTCTGCGTAAATGATAATTCGCCTATTCCTATTGAAAAACAAATCATTCGTATTCGAAACATACAATTCATAACAAGATTATCGAATAGGAATCATATGTTTTCGAATAGGAATGATATGATTTCGAATAGGAATAACAAGTTTTTTGCATATAAATCACACAATTCCCCCCCCCCCAAAAAAAAAAAACTGATTTGAAAACTTCGCCTCTGAAGGGAAGCATTTTATCTATTTCGTTGGCGGGGGGGGGGGGGGGGATACGTACATGTATACTGATGAGAGGAAATTTAATCAACTATCAGTCCTATAAATATGAATGATTGCTTCGGAATATTTGGTTACAATTACATGGCTTTTATATTTATTTATACACGTAAGTTAATGTCAGCTAAGAACTAAATTAACATCTGTTACAGACAAAACAGATAAATTTTTAGCTATTTAGGGTTATCTACATGTATAGATCTATTTGTAAGAACCACTTTTTATAAAACAAATTTTCGCCCATAATATATTTGGCACTCTATTTAATTACCATTTTATTCGGATGTCGATCAGCACATTTTTTTCAAAAACCCCGGAGTGCAAAATAAGCGAAACTGGCCAATGACGATGTTTAAAAATCCTGATTCCGCAATCGCATCATCTCGGGCGTTTCCGTCAGAGGTCGGAAAAACAACCCCGAATGTTTTAACATTACCGGATGTTGAAATTTTATACAAGATGGAGTCGCTTCCTATTTATAAAGGATAGACGAAGTTGCCTATTTATAAAGGATAGACGAAGTTGATAGTCCCTTCTAGCTAATAAGTATATTTTAGGTTATATCTTTACATTCAATAAAGTTAAACTCAATAGTCATTTATTTCAAAGTTTGGGAAAGAGGGGGGGGGGGGTCTACGTAATACATTCGAAGTTTTTTTCCGTTGGAAAGGCCCGAGAAGTTGCGACTGACTTATCTTGGTCTAAAACACTTTGACAAACCCAAACCACGCAGTTTTATTCAGGACACGTGTACAGTGAAATGAAAATAGTATATTCAATCCTGTTAATTTGAGAAAAAAAAATAGTCTGGCATTTTTTCAACCTCGTTCGGTTAATTTATTAATTGATCTTTTTTCCGTGAAGGAGGAAAGCATGGACGAAGGATTAAATAAAAAATATTTCCAGGTGTACAAAAGCACTCGTGCATGGACTTCATTTTAGTACTACATATTGTGATTGAAGTTGAAAATAATCAACAAATAGATTTACAGAATAGAGAGATTATGATTGATAATGTAAATAAAATTATGAAAATTGAACAATATTTGATACAGAAACTACCTAGTATATATGTACATGAGCAAATGTCTCTCTCTCTCTCTCTCTGGATCGTATTTTTGAAAACTAACCCAGAAAAGTAATGTACGTAAGTTACAAGTCAATTATTTGAAAGAAAATACGCAATTCTATACGGTAAACGATACAAATAGTTTAATAGTTTATGATACAAAGGCTGCCGATTATGATCTTAATAATTGAAATAAAGTTGTCAAAGTGTATTAATTAAGAATGATAAATTTGTGATATTCAGTATCTGCACTGAAGTTTACTGGTCTGAAAAAAAGATGGGATGGATGACCAGAGACTCTGGTCCGTCAATAAAGTATTTTTTTTTCGGAAAGCTACATGTACAGTTCTGCAGTTAGATATTCAAGTGATTCTAAAATTTTCCCAGTGTGAACCTTTTCTGTTCCAACTGATATTAAAAAAAGATATGTTATATGCATTCTGAAATTTACATTTCTGGACATACGATATAGGTTTATTGTTATCTACATTTATAACCCGCTACCGATATTTAATCCAACTACAAAATTATGATGTTAGCATACTATACTTAAAAAATATCATTCACGGGTTTTGAATTAATTATAAAAACGAAATTCATTGCTTTAAAATCCTGATGTATTTTATTAAAACTTTACTATCAACCCTGTAATATAAATAGGCATAGTGCAACACAGAAGTCGCTTATGAAGTTCAGACCTTGGCCACGTGACGGAGTTACCTATCAATGTTTAATCCATTTCATTGTTTACTTTTCAATAAAATAACGAATTATTTTTGAAGTAAGACTGGTCACCCTTATGATTCGGAAGATTCTCTTTAAAAGTTTAAAGTTGGTATAATCATGATAAAAACCTGTGATGAAAAATATATGACTGGAAATATTTGTGTTGAAAACGGATTAATTTACTGTTTCAAAACGTAGAGAAAGCGCAAAGCTTGTGCGTTTAATGGTTAAATTAAAGTAACCGCAGATCGCTAGTCCATACGCAATGAATCACCATATTAAAAGTAAAATTACACACGGTTGGGAAATAAATTGTTGGTAACGTTAAAGCAATTGAAATATGGAGATAACGAACATTTAAAATTTAAGACTGATTAAATGCTTAGCGTTTTGTACTTAAATCAAATCTAAGATATTAAGATAATTTATTTGAAAGATTCGATTTACTTAAAGAAAATAATATTTTCCCGTAAGTCGTTGTGTTTGTAAATTAGATTTAGAACAATAATGTTTGATCACTGCGCACTGGTTTACATGCACACGATGGACTACTTTGACCACAAGTGATCGAAGGAATGGTTGCGTAATTGTAAACAAACACAAAACCTGGCTAGACGTTTTGGATTAAGGCTACATGTATCATGATCAAATTTAAAACAAAGATAAACCAACATAATCTCAAATATTCAATATTAATAATTGTCCATTAATTGTCGTGTTTACAAAATGGACTTAATACGCCGATTCTTATTTTGTTTACGACTGTGGGTCAATGGTTCACACGCGGTGGATCGCTTTAGATCTTAATTCTCGGCCGCGCGTGATCGAGGGATGGGTTACGTAGCGGTAAACAGAATAGAATATGGGGTTCAGGTGAATGTAAGAATCACGCAGTTAATGATTGTGAATTATTTGACTATGAAAAGTTTTTTCGCGTTTATATTGTTTGCTTTCATATTTAAACAAAGAAAAGATACTTGTTCTTTTTTGTACAGTTTCTCTCTCTTTCTCTCTTGGAAGGTTCTTTATTTTAAAACACAATAAAAAGAGAAAGTTGTCACCGAATAATCTGAATAGGAACCAAAGAGCACGTTTAAAACCTAATTTAAAAAAATTAGGATACAGCGTTGAAAGGTATATTGTTTTTGGCAAGTTTATTTCCGTTATACGCATAAAGAGTTCTTCTTCACTAGCCAAATGAAAACTAGTCCTTGTTTACGGGTCTAGCTTTTTTTCCCCTACCATACACAAGACTCGAACAAAAGAATATTTTCATGAGACAAAGAAGGTATAAAGAAACAACGTTTTATCGACAGCCATATCGAAATATTTTCTCGTTTTTGAGTTATAAAGCAAAAACTTTCAAGGGCCCTAGATCCCTAATTTAAGGGGCCAGCTCCTTTTTAGTGGTGTCAAATAAAAGGTAATTAAATTGTTCACAACTTTTATTCTACATGTCTTAATAAAATATTTCTTATTTAAAAGATACAAAGGAAAACATGTGTCAATTTTTGCTCTTTCATGCGTCCTAATTTTTGACCCCTGTCTAGCGGCAGTTTGAACGCAGAAATCAAAAAACAAAAACCAATGTTGACAACTTCATTGCTTCTGTTTCTTGTATTCACTAGTATTTATGTTCCAACTTTTGTAGTCTCGGAATATTTGTCTGGAAATTAAAGACCCTAAATTTTCACTTAAAGGGAAATAACCCGAAAGCGGAAGCGGATTTTGGAAAAATGTTATATTATTCTGATAGAGTTTTGTAACGTCTATGAACTCTGAAATTTTGATCAAAATCTGTTAAGAAATAAGCAAGATATGAGGCATCAAAGTTAACAAGTAGGAAAAAGAAGATAAAATTTTGGGCTGTAGCGGACGTTGATGTTTGGTATTTCGGGTAAAAACGAACATCCAAGTACAAATCTATATATGTTGCTCTATCATCACTGAAAATCTCACGTTCCTGTTTTAAGTGCTTTTCTTGAAAATGCCCGGACAAACTAACCCTCGAAAATCACCAAATCTCGAAAATCTCCGGACCGGAAGTGACGTCATCAAAATAAAAAAATATATATCTAGATTTTTCAATTCTCTTTCAGACCTGAAAGTTTCATGAAAATCGGGCGAGCCGTTTCCGAGAACTCGCGTGCACAAAATCGGTAGGAAAAAAAAACAATAATAAAAATAGTGGAAAAGAAACCTAAGAATAACAGTAAGGTCTTCCGCTGAAGTCGGAAGACCTTAATAATAATAATAATAAGAAACAGAGTAAAAACAATATGTTCCCAAACTTCGTTTGGGGAACATAATTACTGAGAAAATAACAATGCCAGGAAACAAATTTGTGTTCCACTGAATGAAAACTGCATGTACCCTGTATATGAGAGTTACATTATTTATCTACTGGTTTTAAGAAAATCTTGTACTTGTAGGTTTAATGGAGCTATTTGCCACATACTATGGAAGTAAGCCACCCAGTATAGCTAACGTTTACCTAGCCTCACACGTGGATCACTACGCAGCATCCTACGGAGATAGGGGATGGGGGTGTGGCTACAGGAACTTCCAGATGTTACTGTCATCCCTAGCAGCCAATCCTACATACAGCAAGGTCCTCTTTAATGGTATAACATGTTTCTTTTTCTTAACTTTCAGAGAGAAATAAATTCATGATCAGTATGCCAAACCTCATGAGGAGCTGAATTTGTCGAAGACATTATCTCTTTTAAAAGATAAAGATTTTATTTTTTTGTCTTACTGCTCTAGCACAGAGCAAGAGGATTGATATGACTGAACTAGAACACAGTCAAAAAAACTTGACATGGATTGTCAGGAGAGACAAAATTATCTTTCAATTCTTGCTAATAAATCTAGAGACATTTACTTGTGTTGTTTTTTAATACCCCATTCATACGACACGATTTGCATACCTCAGTATATTTTACTCATATGTAAATTTACTTACATGTGCAATTTTTGTCGTATGAACTGATTTGCTCATATGCAAATTCTGCACAGTCGAGTAAATTTGCACCTAGTCAGGACAAGGTGTAAATTAACTTTTGCATACACGTTGTCGCAAATTATTTGCTCCCGTGTGTAAAGTTTGTCGTATGAACACGCAGTAAATTTACATACATGTATGTAAGTTTTTCGTCATGTGTATTGCATCAATCTCCATTTAAGGAGGTTGGATCGTGTTATCAAATGTATTGAAAATTTTTTATGAAGTATATTTTTTAAATCTATACATATAGCTTAATTGAAAATCAAAACCAAAAAAGGGGGTTAATGCGCTTCTTTTGGCGCTACGTATACTGGTGGTGGACTGTTAGTCCCCGAGGGTCTCTACAGCCCAGTAACCTTGTACTTTGGTACTAGCTTGAAAAATACGGATATAAATTTAATTTCTGAGGCAAAATTTTCAAAATTTATTTCAAAATTAAGGATTATCTCCCTCAAGCATAGCTCTAATCCTTCAACGTATTTGGCTCTAGTCTTTGGCACCTTTCTCAGTTCTTCCAAGTCTTTTTATTTAAATATTTTGCATTTCCAACGTTTCAGCTTGAGCATCACTGAAGAGACATAATTTGTCGAAATGCGCATCTCATGCATCAAAATTGGTACCGTATATGATTTACATACGGAACATTTAATATGACCTTTTTGCACTGTAATTACATCTAAACACACACACATAAATCAATGTTTCAAAGTTTTTCTTCTAATATTTTTTATCCAAATAAATTATGGGAACAAAGACAGTCTTTTTTCATCTTGAATAGTCTCTTTAAAATTTGAGACAACAAAAAAAGTTTCAAATTACTTCGCATAGTCAATTATTTGACCTTTTTGCACTCAAAAATGTCATTTATCTGGCAATAAAAATTTAACAAGCAATAATATCATTTAAAAGTAATGTCATTTTTCTGAATTTATGCAAAATGGTTAAAATTGACTTGTATATTCAAAAAAAAGAAAATTAAAAGTGGGGGTCTGTGATGTTAATTTTTAGATATAACTTAAATAATGTTAATTTTTAGCCGAAAGTGGGCTATTTTTTCCCCAGGACTTTCACAATATGTTTGCTATATTTGTCCAATATGATGATAGAATTCATGACGGTAAATTTAATATATTATTTAGGACCTGCATAAAACATTTCAGTGCACAAAATAACTCTTTGTGCAGGCTGCATGTAAAAATAGGATTCCAAACTTAACAATACTGTAAATATATCGAAAGAGAAAAATTGAGTATTTTCTTCTCAAAAACCTTTCGCCACAAAATATAGTTCCTCACTGAATGATTTCGGTATGGAATTTAATCATAGGGTTTTAATTGAATATAGTTTAATTAGCATCGTAGAATCCAAATTTGATGTAAGAACTAAAACATTATGCAGAATTTTTTAAATGGAGATCAAGACAAAAATCTTCTCAAAAGCTCGGGAACGAACCTCGTTAAAGCGTTGTTACGGTTGTATAAGCATTGGCATGTAAAATATCAGTCGGTAAACATGGTTGCTAGAAAGCAAAACTCTAAAAAACGCGGATTTTCAAGGGTCATTCTTGCGCTACGTAAACAAAAGTTGAAAGTGAATTGAGTTTTTGTAAGGGTAGATCTGTTGGTGTATGGATTCAAAAGCCAAGTCTTCAAAGGTTATACGCTGGGTCCCCGATAAGTACTACTAGCATAGTACTTTATCCTAATTGCTTTTTCCACTCTGGAAACAAGGAGCCATTATCTCCTCTGAAATAAATTTTCGAATTTGCAAAACGCGGGCATCGTGCATCCTTCCTGTTTATAAAGATATACTTGTACTCGCAAACACCCTACGTATACAGATTCAATGAGTAGAAGCCCTTCCTGTTCAAGTAGTCTCCGTGTGAATGCTTAGGAGCTATGATATGAACATGCATGTCATCAATTGCTCCACCACAGTTTAGCCCTTGATGACTTTCTTCATCATTTCTCAGTTTTTAAACTGAGGCAGGCTACTGACAGATAAGTTGATGTTACAGGGATTTCAACCACCTCGTTTCAATTCAGCATTTGGTGAATAGATAGTTTCATATGACGCATTTTCCCTTCGAGTTATTTCCCTTGGCCGCCATCTTGGAGATCAAACTGGTATTTAAGCAGAAATATAAGGTTAAAAATCTTTAAATTACTAAACCTATGAACTAAAGGATCCCTTTGTTAACATATATTTGTAAGAAAAACTGTGTTATCTGCGCCTCATTGTCCAATGTGAGAAGTTGGTTGAATAATGAAGGAATCTGACCTTGTTAACGTCCAATATGGAGACTAACAGAAAATAACTCATTATAATGATCTTGTTAGCATATTCTCATCTGGGACTTTTCTTCTAGTTTCGTTGAGGAACATCCAAAAGTTAGTCCTATACCCAAATAGTAGAGAAATTACGAAAGCCCATTGAGCTCATTTTCGTAGGTAAAAAAATATTTTTCGCGTTATAATGCGAAACTTTCGCGAATAAACGCGTAACTTTCGCGTTATAATGTGTAACTTTCGCGAATAAACGCAAAACGTTCGCGAAATTATACATATTTAGTCATGTTACTCAGGAACCTGTGATCTTGACTGACAGATGAAAAACATGAACGCAGAGGGGGATTTCTATGAATTTATAAATGACATTTCTTCAGAAGATGTAAAAGAGAATTGATGCGAGAAATGGATAGATTAGTGTTAATTTTGCATTTAATCTCAAAACCCTACTAATTAATTAAATGAATATTCCTTTAAAGATTTTCTTGTTTTTTACCTGTTTAATCCATGAAATTCTTTAGGCTGATTTTTTTTTTCTCAGGAAGAACTCCACTCGTTGCTTTCTTTGAATAAATTGTCAATGTTTTCGTAAGTAATGGTATGACCAACTGGCGCAACCTTAAAATACGATGTTGTATTCTTACAGTGAGTCTATCGGAGATGAATCATTTGATACGAATATTTGTCATCCAATTTTCACAATAGGTTACTCATGTGATGTGACACAATTGTTCCGTAAAATATACAAATTTACCCCATTGTTGTTATTTTTCTGAGATCTTTTATTTCAAATTCTATAGAGAGTGTTCAACTGATTAAAATCGGACTTGTATTTTCGCTCCTCTACTATACGCTTCAACACTTGTATTGAAGTGTATAGTAGAGGAACGAAAATACAAGTTTAATTTTATTTAGATTGAGAGAGTGTTAAAAATGACGCCGGAAAGAGGGATTATTTTCTCGAAAGTTTCATTTTGAAAAAACTCTAATAGACTTTGCGAATGTTTGAACAGCATGGAGAAAGACAAAATTTGACAGCAAAAAAGATTTAGAAAAAGAAGAGACACATTCAAAGGCAAGAAAACATAATATTTCAGCTTGTGATAATCCAAGTTCAAAATACCCCGGTAGTCTTTCGTTTTTCATTGTAATGAATAAACTAGATCATTAAAAAGTAAAACAAACTGGAGACTTATGCAAATGTCTCTGTTTTACAGGGAAAGTTTCGCGTTATAACGCAAAAAATATATTTTTTTACCTACGAAAATGAAGTCAATGGGCTTTAGTAGAAATACCCATTTTCTGTGAAAATTCACAAGTTTGAAGCGGTCCATTTCCTTATTTTAAATAACAATTTGAGGATTTATTTATGGTGCATAAATCTCGTCTGAACGCATAGCAAATTAACTTTTACATATGTGTGTAAATTTACTCATCTGTAAATTTGCACACATAAGCAAATTTTCGTCGTATGAATGGGGTATAAGTCAACTCCACAGTAATAATATTCATGTTTAAGCCTATATAAAATGAGCCAATTATTTACTTTTTCTGAAAAGCTCATTACTATAAAATAATAAATGTTTAGTCTTTGTAGGTAAACCTGTGATTCCTTCCATTCCCAAAATCCAACAGCTGATCGAGGCAGCATGGGCCAAGGGGTTTGATCAGCAGGGAAAGGAACAACTGGGTAACAAAGTCACAAACACAACTAAATGGATCGGGGCCACGGAGATTGTGGCTACTCTGTTTTCACTCAAAGTCAAGTAAGTGTCGAGTACTGTAAAGGAGCATACATTTACACATGATGTGCAAATTTTACATACATAAAAATTTTGCTCCCAGGTTTACTTTGGCACATGTGAATGGGGTAAGCAAGATTTGCATGTAAGTATTTTTACTCCTAGTGCAAAATTTACATCTAGTCAGACTAACTTTTACATACAAGTACCGGTAAATTTACTCCTGGTGTATTTTCAGCCATGTGAACTAGTAGTTGCAAACTTTTACTTGTGTGCATATATTGATATTGCCTACAAAACAATGCATCACTTCTTTAAAAAGTGCATCTTATCCTATGTTAGAAAAAAGTGGTGTCCTGATGTGTTGATAAATTTCAAAAAAAATTTAGGTAGCATTTGAACAAAAAATGGAGAGTAAAAGGGGAACTGCATAGGTTGGTTGAAGAAGCAAATGTTCTCCTTAGTATTTGACAAGAATAAGGAGTTGAAGAAAAATTAGATTCTATAACAAGTAATTTAAAGTATTTCTAGGTGCTTGGAACTGCCAAATTAATACTGATTTACACACATCTTGCTGGTGCATGTAAACACATTGCCAAAATTACATATACACACCATGAGTAAAATTTGCATATGTGTAAAAATTTACACTTGTGACTTTGAGTAAATGGGCCCATGTTAATGGGGCTTAAATACATTTTTTGATTACACAAATAAGTAGCAAATACCAGATGTGTTTGTGTGGGGGTGGGGGGCAGTGTTTATTTCTGCTAGTTAAGTGTGATGCACTGTCAATGTATGATGTATCTTTTTCCACGTGGGATTCATTTATGCTCTGTACGCAATCACATTTTCCACTGAAATTTGTCACAGCCTGCTTAAAAAGTGCATTTTGGACGTACAATTACAATACAAAAAATCTACATAATTTTCTATCCGCAAATGGAACAGAAATTGTGATTCCATGGAATTATACCCACATGGAAAAAAGTTTGTTTACTGTATATAAGAAAGGATTGATGTGCAGAGGATATATAGAATGCTAATGATTTCTTCTATCTTGCTGTTAACTACCCCAAGTTGTCACAGAAATACAAGTCAAGTTTAAGAGGGAGAGGGGAAAATTGATTTGTAAATGTGATTACTATTATGTCAATTTTGTTTGATCATAATTTGCTACATTACAGCTAGGTATTTTCTCATGGTTAAAAGCATAATGAGCAAAATTTGCTTTGCAATAAAGAAGATATTTTCAAAAGTATTGAAAAATTACAGAATGTGTTTTATATTCATTACTTTTAACATCTTTTCATGTGATTGAAGGTGCCAACTCTTGGATTTCCACAGCCCTTCAGGACCTCAGGGCACACACCCAAAACTTTTTGAGTGGATCAAGGCTTATTTTGAGAAGAAAGAGCCTTATAAGCTTCCTATATATCTTCAGCACCATGGTAATGCTTACTGTTTTATACGAAATGTGTTAATTATTAATCTAGGGAAATTTTTCATTCATGTTGATGACTGTCAGTTTTCTTTGTTCATTACATTTTGTCAGAATAGTGGTTATAAAAATTTACTCTGCCATAATAGAAGAAAGAGGGCTAGCTGAAACCATTATTAATCCATAGATATGTGATCGTAACCAAAAAATTATCTCAAATAATAGGGTATATATTGCAAAATCCTAGCTCATGATTAATGACTTTTTAGCTCACTTGAGCTGAAGGCTCAAGTCAGCTTTTCTGATCACTTTTTGTCCGGCGTCCGTCTGTCTGTCCGTCTGTAAACTTTTAACATTTCGACTTCTTCTCAAGAACCACTGAGCCAATTTCAACCAAACTTGCCACAAAGTATCCTTGGGTGAAGGGGATTCAGGTTTGTTCAAATGAAGGGCCACACCCTCTTTCAAGGGGAGAAAATAAAGAATTAGTGAAAAATTAATGGCATCTTTTAAAAATCTTCTTCTCAAGAACCACAGGGCCATTAAAGATGAAACTCATGTGGAAGCATCCTCAGGTAGGGTAGATTCAAGTCTGTTCAATTCATGTCCCCAGGGGTAGGGCGGGGCCACAATGGAGGATCAAAGTTTTACATAGAAATATAAAGGAAAAAGCTTTAAAAATCTTCTTCTCAAGAACAGCAAAGCCATGATGAGTCATATTTAAATTGAAGCATCCTCAGGTACTGTAGATTCAAGTTTGTTCAAATCATGACCCCCGGGGGGTAGGGTAGGGCTACAATGGAGGATCAAAGTGTTACATAGAAATATATAGGAAAAATCTTCTCAAGAACAGCAAAGCCATGATGAGTCATATTTATATGGAAGCATCCTCAGGTAGGGTAGATTCAAGTTTTTTTCAAATCATGACCCCCGGGAGTAGGGTGGGGCCACAATGGAGGATCAAAGTTTTACTGAGAAATATAAAGGAAAAATCTTTAAAAAAATCTTCTTCTCAAAAACAGCAAAGCCAGGATGAGTCATATTTATATGGAAACATCCTTAGATAGTGTAAATTCAAGTATGTTCAAATCATGACCCCTGGGGTTAGGGTGGGGCCACAATGGAGGATCAAAGTTTTACATAGAAATATATAGGAAAAATCTTTAAGAATCTTCTTCTCAAGATCAGCAAAACCATGATGAGTCACATTTATATGGGAGTATCCTCAAGTTTGTTCAAATTATGACCCCTGGGGCTAGGGCAGGGCCACAATGGACTATCAAAGTCTTACATAGAAATATATAGGAAAATCTTCTCAGGAACAGCAAAGCCCTGATTGGCTAATTTATATGGAAACATCCTCAGGTAGTGTAGATTCAAACTTATTCAAATCATGACCCCCAGGGGTAGGGTGGGGCCACTATGGAGGATCAAAGTTTTACATAGAAATATATAGGAAACATTTTAAAAATCTTCTTCTCAGGAACAGCAAAGCCCTGATTGATCATATTGATGTGAAAGCATTCTCAGCATTCTCAGTTAGTGTAGATTCTATTTTGTTCAAATCATGACCCCCGGGGGTAAGGTGGGGCCACAATGGAGGATCAAAATCTTCAATAGAAATATATAGGAAAATATTTACTTCTGAAGAACTGCAAAGCCATGATTAGTCATTTTGATATGGAAGCATCCTCAGGTAGTGTAGATTCAAGTTTGTTACAATGATGACCCCCGGGGATAGGATTGGGACACAATGGGGGATCAAAAATTTTACATAAGTACATATAGGAAAATATCTTCTTCTCAAGAACTGAAAATCATGTTTAGTCATTTTGATATGAAAGCATCCTCAGGTAGTGTAAATTCAATTTTGTTCAAATGATGACCCCCGGGGGTAGGGTGGGGCCCAATGGGGGGTCGAAAGTTTTACATAAGAACATATAGAAAAAATATTTCTTCCCCAGAACAGAAAAGCTATGTTTAGTCATATTGATATGGAAGCATCCTCAGGTAGTGTAGATTCAAGTTTGTTCAAATGATGACCCCTGGGATAGGGAGGAGCCACAATGGTGATCAAATTTTTACAAAGGAATATATCTTCTCAAGTACAACAAAGCCATTTGTTATATTGACAATGAAAGCATCATCAGGTAGTTTAAAATTCAAGCCCCCCCCCACCCCCACCCCCCCAGTAATCTTTTCAATACTGAACTGATTTGTGCTTTTGCCTAGCCATTGTGCTCAGGTGAGTGATGTGGCCCATGGGCTTCTTGTTGTTGCTTCTTTTGTTACAGCATGGAAAAACCTGAATTTTATATATTTTATTTAAATTTAAAGTTCAAAGACTGGTAAAATAATACTGTAGCTCAGTGTTAAAAGCATCTTAATTATAAAGTTTAATTTTTTTCAGGCCATAGTAGAACAGTAGTTGGTATTGAGGAAGTTCGGGAGGGTGGTTTACGTCTGCTGATCTTTGATCCGTCTACTCCCCGCAAACAGATGCAGCAGTACCATGGTGTGGTAAATGGCAGTAACCTCCGCACCATTCGACGTACCCTGCATGGACTGAAGGCTAAGCAGTACCAGCTAGTGGCTGTCACAGGGGTCCTAACTGACCAGCAGTATGAAGAGAACAAGGTGCTCCGGTCTCAAAGAATCCACTAGTCAAGAATTAGATCTACACTTGCAGAAAGAGAAACCCGGCAGAAAATATTAATCCTATCAAGAATAAGCAAAGTCCATCTTAAGGGAAAAGTTTAAGCCATACTTGATTAAGAATGAATTTCCACACAAATTTGCTTCAGAATGGAAAAAAGAATTTATCATAGTTTTACATGTAAACGATAACTCTTCTTATTTTAGTACCTGGTTTGTCTGCATCTAAAGCATCTTCACTAGCCGTAGCTGGTCCGCTCCTCTTCAAATCTACCAAGGGTTGAGAGGAAGGGAGTGGATCATAAAATTGGCTAGCGAAGATGCATCTACAGCAGTTTTCAGTGCTTAGTAGTCCAGCTTGCTGAAATCTTTTATCTTGCCAATTTGATAAATTTTTGCTACTTAGAACATGTAGAATATTCCATGTTTTTTGGAAGTACACTATTGCTTGGTAGGCTGTAGATTGAAGGGTATTTAAAAATAGTACAATGCTTTGGTGCTTGTTTACAATGAATGATGCTCTCAGTGTTGTATTACTTGGGTCAGTGTGATTACACTTTAGTAGGGAATTGAATTCCATTGCACCATTCTGTCAAGGCATCATAGGATTCATATGATTGTACTTCGTTAGAAGAACAGACATAACACTCTTGTTAGGACAAAGCTGAGAAGTCATTTTCAAAAAATATAATTTTGTCTTAAGCCAATAGTCTGAAGAAATAGAAAATAAATATATGAGAGATATGTGCATGTAAAACAATCTTTATTGTGCATAATACACAAGTGATTAGAAATGGTTTTCAAGTAGTTTCTTTTCTTTTTTTTTAATTTAAAATAGTTAAATGTTAACTTAAAAGCACGAATGTAACCACAAAACAGTTATTTACCCAATGACAGGTAAAAGAGATTGTGAATAAAAAAAAATAGTGGCTATGATAGCCTGTCTTTAAAGCATTTAATTGTTGCTGAAAAGGAGAGTAAACTTTTTTTACATAAAAGACTTAAACTATATGACTGGGACATTAATTAACTTCAGTTGTAAAAAAAAATTTTAAAAAGTGCACACTAAAACAGTACAGTATTACAGCTAGTAGAAAACATATAATACATATAAATGAAAATAATTGTTAAAACTGGACTTTTTAATTGCAATGAACTGATACCTTTGTTTAATTAAAAGTCAATTTGTGTTGACCCTTCAGTCAAGTTGTCCAGTAAACCAGTCAATGATTAGTCTGAGACTGTAGAAGCTTTAGAGAGGGTTCTTGTGAGTAAAGTTCAGAGGAGAATTTTATCTTGTGAAACTGTTCTGTTCTTTGGAATGAGTATAAGCATGATAAGTCCTAAAATTATTATCCTTCGTGCAATTTCTTATTGTTCATTTATTGTGATCCATACCTGTGTAGTTACAGAAAAAATACATACAGTAGGGTATTCTAACTTCTAACAAAAAAAAATTACATCCACATGCTGTAATTTATTTAATATTTATTTTTTTTAATGAATGACAGAATGTACAGTATATGTTTACTACCGGTACATAATCTGCTTTTTGAGATCAGAGTTTCTGTAGTGATTTCTCATAGGAAAAAAAAAGAAAGGAAAGGAAAAACAACAGGTTAAGAGTTAACCTTATACAAGAAACTCACATTGCACATGCAGCACTTTTTGTGACATATTACCTGTTCTGTATGTCAGGTTAAAGTTTAAATCATGTATGTATTGTGATTGTCTGGAGATGTCTTAAATATCATGAGGAAAAATAATGGAACAGAAGAATTGTTCACTGTAATGCAGAATGTGATATATTGTATGAATGTGGTTATAGGCAAAGGGCAGAGCTTTTGTTGTAAAAATATAAAACCTGTAATTGCATATTGTAAATTTGTTGGATCTGAATTCCGTTATAAATGTTCCATTTTTATGCTAATTTGTTTTTGCACAGCTGTGATATATATAGTATGTGTGTCACTTATAAGGTGACTGTAACATATCGAAAGGAGAGCCAGACTTATTGCCATCTTATTGTTGTAAATTTATTAAAATCTGTGAATACAAATACCACATCTTAATGTGTTTCATTTCAAGAGGAAATTTTGTCACAAAATTTTCATATATAGTGGTTTGAGCTCTTTGAACTATGGATATCTACTCAGTCAGGTTAGAGCATCTGACTATTTGGTAGTAATGCAGGGGTCTCGGGCATGAAATGAAATTTTTCCTTTCCTGATACATTTGGTGCCGTTGACTACTCCTGGTCTTGCAGGTGGAAAGTACCAGTCCTACTAGGAGCTAATTTAGGGTCTCCAACTTTGGTGTGTTGATTTTGAAGGCCAAAGAGAGAGGAATGTAGTGGTTTGGGCTGTATGGACTGTGGATATCCACATTTTTTGAAGCTCCTGACTATTAACGCAAGTCCTGAGTTCAATTTGTGGTCCAGTCATAAAATTTCTCCTTTGCTGTTGCACATTATTTCACTTTGTCAAAGTTAGACCCTGAGTTCTCCTTGTTCTTGTTCATGTAAAGAAGATGGAGACAGCCTTAATTTTCATTCTATTCGCAAAAAATAAATATGTAGAATTTAATTTATATTCAATTGAATGTAATGAGGGAAAATATAATTACATACTGGCTCATACCGCTTTCCTACATGTAAGTACCGGTATCCAAAAATAGGAAATTGGTAAAGGATCAAAACTGTTTCAAATGACAGCAAGATTATTTAAAACAGGATGTGTTTGTAAAACAGTGATGCCTCCATATTGCAGCTCATGGTAAAGTTTAAAGTTTCTCAAATGCAAGTCAAACTCCAAGCTTAAGGTGAAGGTCAGGAAATCGAAAAATATTTGTACTCAAAGAAAGGTCTTGTCACAAGGAATACACGTGAAATATGAAAGCCTTAGAACCAACTGTTCTAAAGTTATGGCCAAGGATTTAGTCTTTCAAAAGAAAGGTCAAGGTCAAAGGGTAAAAATAGATGGTACCCAAAGAAAGGTTTTGTCACATGGAATACAACTGTGAAATACAAAATCCCTAGGCACCAACCATTCAAAAGTTATGGCCAAGGTTAAAGTTTTTAAAAAATAGATCAAACTCCAAGGTCAAGAGATCAAAATTATTGGTACACAAGGAAATTAAGGTCTTATCACAAGGTATATACATTTGAAATATGAAAGCCCTACCACCAACCATTCAAAAGTAATGACAAAGGTTAAGGTTTTCCAAAAGTAGGCTATGTCAAACTCAAGATCAAGGTCAAAGGGTCAAAATTGTTGGTAACCAAGGGAAGGTCTTGTCAGAAGAAATGTACCAGTGAAATATGAAAGCCCTTGCACTAACTATTCAAAAGTAATGGCCATGATTAAAGTTTTTCAAACGTAAGTAAAATGCCAAGTTTAAGGTCAAAAGGTCAAAATTGTTGGTACCCAAGTGAAGGTTGTGTCACAAAAGATACATCTGTGAAGTATAAAAGCCCGAGCCCTTACAGTTCAAAGTTATGACCAAGGTTAAAGTATTTCAAAAGTAGGTCAAACTCCAAGTCAAGGTCAAAAGGTCAAAATTTTTGATACCCAAGGGAAAGTCTTGACACTAGGAATACACATGTAATATGAAAGCCCTATAGCTCCAACCATTCAAAAACTTATTACCAAGGCTAAGATTTTTCAAAAGTAGGTTAAATGTCAAGGTCAAAAATAGTGGTCTTGTCATGAAGGAATACATTTGAAGCAGCGGCGGATCCAGGAATCTTGAAAGACGGGGCCCGACCAGTTTGGGGTCGGGTTGGGGCCTAGGGCCCTAGGACCAACCAATCAAAAGTTATGAGCAAGGTTAAAGTTTGTGTGGACAAACAAACAGATTAACAGACAAACACAAATTAACAAGCAAAAAGACAGGTAGTGGAAGACGGATAGGGTAAAAAAAATCGATTACGGGGTATTGCAGAAACCTATCCGGAAAATTAAATTCTTCACGTTTCGCCTTTGTGTTATAGGTATACAATGACGTCACAGTGTAGGTCAAAGTTGTCCTGATCGGGAGAGAAATCATGGCAGGTGCGAGCTCTCAAAATTTTTTCGAGGGAACAGAGAAACTTCTGGAGGTTTGGTTTAGCAGTGACAACGAATCTTCAGATCTCCGAGATGTCAAACAGTAAGTCTAATCTTCATAGTGTATTCTTCTAGATTGTTATATGATTTTTTTTTTGGCAAAGCAGTCCCACATGGACCTGAGCCCGGTTTGTGATGCACATGTTTCATTGTGAAATAACGCCCTTTTTAAGGTAAAATGTTTTGAATCTGCTTAAGCATTTTCAAATAACACAAATGAAGGACATACTTTTGCAAACCGGATGTAAAGTACAGTTTTGAGGCTCTACAGTTTACACAGGAAATATTTCTGGACCCCCTATAAGTAAATCAAATAAAGCTGTGAAATCCTGTTATATATTTTAATGTTTTATATTGCGTATGATATCTCTAACAAATTATATTAAAAAAACCAACATGATTTGATTTTTCTCTTCATTTAGAGTTGTTGTCCTATACTACAGATATTGGATTGTTTATATGCCAGTTTTTTGGTGTTCAATTAGTTAGAATAATCTAACTGTGTCTCAGACAAATTGTCACCACAGTTAGAATACGTCCCATAGAGCTGCAGTGTAGCAAAACAGTGTAGATCCACTCCTGTGTGATTTTGAAGAATAGTAAAGGAGTAGCACTGAAAATATCCACCAAATTAATCATATAAATTAACTAAAATATACTTAACAGCTGCATCTAAAACCCTTCTCTTTAAACCACCAATATATAATTGTAAAATAAGAAAAAGAAAACCAAAACCTTGGATGTCTAATGATATATCTCTACTAAAAAGAGAAGTCCGCAAACTTGGAAGAAGAATTCAAATGAATCCAAAAGATTGCAATTTATTACAGGCTTTCACAAATGCTAAACGAGAATTTAACAGAATGAAAAAGAAATCAAAACATGAATTTTATAAGACAGTAACTGACAACATTGACAACCTAAATCAGAACAATTCAAAAAATTTTTGGAAGGTCCTAAATAAAAATAAAATTAAGCAAAACTCAAATTCTTCCACTCCAGGACTTCAAGCATTTATGAATCACTATCAAAACTTACTGTGCTGTAAGGGCGATAACTCCTGTGAACATGTAGTTGAATCTGAAATACAGAAACTTACTCCCCTTGACTATCCTTTCACATACAGTGAAGTCAAGCTTGGCATTAAAAATCTAAAAACTGGTAAATCACCTGGACAAGACCTAATACTCAATGAATTTATTAAAAGTGGTTCAAGTACACTTCTAAATATATTAACAAAACTTTTTAATAAAATTCTTTTTTCTGGGGAAATACCCGAAGCCTGGAATTTGGTACAAATAACTTCTATCTATAAATCTGGTGACCCATGTAACCCATCAAACTATAGAGGATTAAGTGTTACAAGCTGTATGGGTAAACTTTTTAATGGACTTTTACAATGCCGCCTAAATTCGTACTTGGAAACAAATGACCTTCTGAGTAATTATCAATTTGGATTCAGAAGAAACCACCGTACCACAGATAACATATTTATCTTAAAAACTCTTATAAATAAGTACTTAAAATATAAGAAACAAAACATTTATGCATGTTTTGTGGATTTTACCAAAGCCTTTGATACAGTTGATCGAACTTTAATGTTACCAAAAGGGCATAGGTGGGAAATTTTACAATGTTATAAATAATATGTACTCAAACACTAAATATTGCTGTAAAGATGAATCTTGCTATAGTGAACATTTTATAGCTACACGCGGGGTTAAACAAGGAGATAATCTTTCCCCAACACTTTTTAATATATTTATTGATGACTTCTACTCGCAGTTAGTTAATTATAACACAAACCCTCCTGAATTACAGAATATTGATGTCGGACATTTATTCTTTGCAGATGACTTAATTCTCCTCTCTACTACTAAAGAAGGTCTCCAAAACTCAATAGACTGTCTCTCAGAATATTGCATAAAATCAAAATTGACTGTTAACCTTGATAAAACTAAAGCAATGATTTTCTCAAATAAGAAACCTGACACAGCTCAACATTGTTTTTATTATAATCATTCAATAGTTCATCTTGAACATGAATATAAATATCTGGGAATTATTTTTACTTATAATGGTAAACTTAAGTATGCAGCTGAACACCTAGCTGACCGTGCAAGAAAAGCTTTTTATGCAATGAAACACTCTTTACCATTTCATAACAGCTTATCTGTAAAAACTCTTTTAAAACTATATTCTTCACTTATTGAACCTATCATTTTGTATGGTTCTGAGATATGGATTTCAGACTTTAATATTAATATAAACAATTGTGATCAACTACCTTTTGAAAAGATACAGCATTTAATATTTAAAGACATCTTGGGTGTACAGAGAAAAGCTTCAAATTTAGCCATTAAATATGAGCTAGGAACACTTCCTATTTGTTGCAAAGCTTTCATCTCTATGTTTAAATATTATAAGAGACTAAAAAACCATAATAATAAAAATGGAATTAGAAATCAAATTCTTATTGCTGCTTTCTTAGAAGATGACATTCTGTATAATAATGATGTAAAGGATAATTGGCAGAGTCAGATTGATAAATTAAAAAAGAAACTTAAACTTCCATCATTAGATATCACTGATAGCACATTTAGCAGCTACTTGAAGAATTTCTACATAAAAAATGTTAATTTGCAACTTCAGAACATTGAATTCACCAAATGTGGTAAATTATTATTTTACAGTCAAATTAGAAAGAACTATGAATTACAAGACTACTTGAAATTTCCAATTAATAAATCTGTACGTTCTAAATTAACAAAACTGAGAATTTCTGCACACCCTTTAGAAATTGAAATTGGCAGATATTCAAAGCCTTGTATCCCAAAAGAATCTCGTTTTTGTCACTATTGTAAAAATGTTGTAGAAAATGAAATACATTTCATATATGACTGTCCTATATATAAAGATTTGCGAAAAAAGTATTACCCTTTGAACATCTATAATTTAAATGATAACATGTTGAAGGAAAATCATTGTAAAGTACTTTGTAATCCTGACAATGCAGTTCATTCTAGAAGGCTATGCGAATTTTTACATGAATGTTTTGAATGGCGTTCTAAAAATAGAGCACAATAATATATATTTAATGCATTAATTAGTTTATCTCTGTCCATATTATACTGTTTATGCTATTTGCATAATGATTATGTATAACTTCAAGTTGTAAAAGTAGTTGACTTCACTGATTTGTACACTTGCATGTATGTATGTACTTTAGTATATGTTTTAGTAATCTGAAAACACACTGTATTTTTCATTTTGTTTGTAACATGGTTGTATGCCAACATGTTTGGTGAATCAATAAATTGAATTGAATTGAATTATAACCATGATAACACACAGGTGCTTGGGGACGGGACCCCACCCACCCATCCCCGTATTCCATACCCCAAGGAATCTTTGACTTTTTTAAAATAAAATGTTTTTCTATGACATTCACAAAGTAGTATAACTGAAAAATCCAAAATATAACCTAAAACTAGCTTTTTTAGCTCACCTGAGCTGAAAGCTCAAGTGAGCTTTTTCTGATCACCCATTGTCTGTCGTCTGTCCTTCCATCCATCCGTCTGTCCATCCGTCTGTAAACTTTTCACATTTTCGACTTCTTCTCAAGAACCACTTGGCCAATTTGAACAAAACTTAATACAAAGTATCCTTGGGTGAAGAGGAGTTTAAATTGTTAAAATGAAGGGCCAAGTCCCCTGTAAAGGGGAGATAATCAAGAAAATACAAAAATTAGATGGGGTCATTAAAAAATCTTCTTCTCAAGAACCACTGTGCCAGAAAAGCTGAAACTTATGTGGAAGCATCCTGGGGTAGTGTAGATTCTAAATTGTTCAAATCATGACCCCCTGGTATAGGGTGGGGCCACAATAGGGAATCCAAGTTTTACATTGAAATATGTAATAAAAATCTTTAAAAATCTTCTTCTCAAGAACCACTGGGCCAGTAAAGCTGAAACTGATGTTCAAATCATGACCCCCGGGGCGGGCCCACAATAGGGAATCCAAGTTTTACATCGAAATATGTAGTAAAAATCTTTAAAATTCTTCTTCTCAAGAACAACTGAGCCAGAAAAGCTTAAACTTATGTGGAAGCATCCTGGGGTAGTGTAGATTCTAAATTGTTCAAATCATGACCCTTAGGGGGTAGGGCAAGGCCACAATAGGGAATCCAAGTTTTACATTGAAATATAAAGTAAAAATCTTTAAAAAACTTCTTCCCAAGATCTAGTGGGCCAGAACAGCTGAAACTAATGTGGAAGCATTCTAGGGTAGTTTAGATTCTAAATTGTTCAAATCATGACCCCTGGGGGTAAGGTGGGGCCACAATAAGTACTACGGGGGGGGGGGGGGGGAGAAATCAGGTGAAAAACAGCAAGATCAAAGTTACTCAGGTGAGCGCTGTGGCCCATGGGCCTCTTGTTAAAAAATCACACTCTCTGATACTAAAAGAGAACAAGGTTGGCAACTTCAACAGACGACTTTCGACTGATGGGAAATCCTCAAAAAATGAAGATGAAAGCTACTTACTTACTGGAAATAAAGGTTTCCATATCTTCAGAGATTATTAATTAATGGATACATTGCTAATTTGTGCCTCACTGTAGTTCCAGTCTTGGGAATTTTCATGTTTAACACTCGCAACTCGTCATTTCAATTGTCAACAAACAGAACCCTTGGGGTACGGAACATGGGGGTGGTTGGTGGGGGGGGGGGTCCTGTCCCCAAGCACCTGTGTGATAACAAACCTTTTTAGTTCAATGTTAATATTAGTTGTATACCATTACTGCACATGTTATATGTCTTATATTTGTTCCTAAAAAATAATCCGTATACACAAGGAAAACAAAATTATACTGATAAAAAGAGGGACATATATACTAATAGACAGAGGGACAGACTTACTGATAGACAGAGGGACAGGCTTACTGATAGAAAGAGGGGCAGGCTTACTGATAGACAGAGGGACAGAATTACTGATAGACAGAGGGACAGATTTACTAATAGACAGAGGGACAGGCTTACTGACAGAGAGAAGGACAGACTTAAATACTGATAGACAGAGGGATAGTCCTATTGATAGACAAAGGGACAGACTTAATTACTGATAGACAGAGGGACAGACTTAATTACTGATAGACAAAGGGACAGACTTAATTACTGATAGACAAAGGGATAGAATTAATTACTAGTAGACAGAGGGATAGACCTATTGATAGACAAAGGGACAGAAATACTGATAGACAGAGGGGCAGACTTAATTACTGATAGACAGAGGGACAGACTTAATTACTGATAGACAAAGGAACAGACTTAATTACTGGTAGACAATGGGACAGACTTAATTACTGATAGACAGAGGGATAGACTTAATTACTGATAGACAGAGAGATAGACCTATTGATAGACATAGGGACAGAATTACTGATAAACAGTGGGACATACTTACTGATGGACAGAAATACAGATTTATTAATAGACAGAGGGAGAGGAAAACTATAGTCTTTTCCAGACTAAGTGTCAATTAGTATATTTTGATTCACCATGTGAACAAGCACGTTATAAAAGCCAATACCAAATTTTACTCTGGAGAGTGGGCAACTGAGTCTTAAGTTTGCTGTTTGTCCACATCGTTTTCAAGAGAGAAAGATAATGCAGTATATATATTAAAAATAACACTTGATTATACATATAGAGAATAAAGTTTCTTTTTAATTCATTTTAAACCTTGATTTTATCATTTTTGTGCCCTTAAATGTATATAACCAGGGAATATGACTGTCCTCTTGCTTTCCGATCTTTTATATGTTTATTAAGTATATATGTACATTATTTGCTAATTTTGTTCATTGGCAACTTTTGAACAATTTTTACAAATCTGTTTCGGGTAAATTTTAACTGACAGCAGCTTATACCAGTGTATGCTAGTAATATTTAGAATTTTTTGTAAGCAGTTAGGATTCAAAGAGGAGTATGTAGTGTTTTCTTTTGGCTGCATGTCATAAATTCATGTCAGACTGAGAGCTTTATGATTATTATCAAGTGGCACTGAATCTTAATTTTAAAGGAATCTGCATTAGAATTTGAAGATGGCCAATGTGGCATCTTGTAGGAGGTTTTATTTTCCATAAGAAATCATTAAGATGTTTTGAATAAAATTATAGTGGAATTTATGACATAAAAATGATATATATCAGTACATTTATTAACACCCTTTTTATGCTAACTAATTACTAGATTACATTCCAGTTGGGAGTATATTTCATCTTATTGGATGGTATTTTGTGTCGCTGCCAAAGAATTTTTAAAAAAAAAATTTAAAAACATTTTGGTTAAAGTGCATCTAAATATTTTGATAGAAGGAATGCAGTTCCAGGTAAATTTTGGCATTATTAGAAATGCAAATTGTTACAGTATGCATTGCTCAATATTAATAAGTAATTTGAGATTAAAAAATTGTTAAAAAATATTTCTTCCATATGAATTCATCTACAAGTAGTTACTTTAAGAAGAATAATATTTGAATAAGTTTATTTTATTTTCCTCTTTTATTTAGATTGAATTAAAATATAAATGCCTCTAATTAATATATGTGCATTTTAAACAAAACTGATAGGAAAATCAAAAGGTTGGAAAAGGTAGCCTTAAGTTGTGGGAATGTTTTAATTTTGCTTTTTTTTTTTTAATTTGTATTTTTTTGGTCCTCTAAAATAAATACATGAACCCAGTGGCAAAAATCTATGTCATGGGATTTTTGCATAGACTTCATACAGACTCATCTCAAATTGTCAAAATTTTATGTTCATGTGTGAAAATTGAATATCATGTTATGATAAAGACCAAATTGTCTATTTCACATTTTCAATGGGTGTTAGAAAAATTATATTTCTGAAAAAGAAGTTTGTGTAGTTGTTTATTTATTTATAGTCATTAAAAACATTGAAAAGATGTAGGTTTAGAACAAGTTGACCATGCTGATTGACAGATGTTGATCTGTACTTGTAGGTATAATATATACATGTATTAAGATAAAATTATGTAAGATGATCTCGATAACAACTATTATGAAACAGTTATTCAGGATCAAGTTATAATGTAGAACAAACTACATGTATATATCACAATGAACATGTGACCAGATACTTGATGTACACACTTAGGTCATAATTGTCTCATTGATCCAAAAATAAGAAGACTGTAATATTTTAGGAATGACTCTAATTCTTGGCCAAATTATTCGAGTATAACCTGGTTTGGGGTCAATTTACGCTTTATAATCCGCGAAGCGGATTATAAAACAGCATCAAATGACCCAAACAAGGTTGTACTCGAATAATTTGGCCAAGAATTAGAGTCATTCCTTATAATTTAATTTTAAAATCATTAAATAAGTATGGGTGTAAAATTTCGTTGCTTTTTATTAGTTCAAATTTGCCGCTCAATAATACAAGCGTAGTAACGGAAGTGATGGGAAGCGAGGGGAGGTAAAAACTGATACATAGGCCTAGCAGCCTTGTTGTTTGTTTACGTGTGGTAAGATCGAATTATTGTTTGAAGTTAAAGGTACATTTATTAAATCTGGAATTTTCCATGAATCCTGAGGACTGGAAATGAGAGGATTGTATGGATACAGATGATTCAGCTGGTTGTCGGGGGGGGGGGGGGGGGAAGAGGGGGGGGGGGAAGAGGGGGTCCCCATACCAAACCAGGTTATACAGAAATAATTTGTGTTCCTTTTTGGATATTAACCAATCAGAGGCTAGAATACAAACAAAATTAAATTATATAATGTTGGCTGTAAATGCAAATTGTTCAGGAAAAATTGAAAGAATTATTAAAGAGATAAATGAAGTTCAGACTGGTTTTGTACTGTGAAGAACAATAAGAAAATTAAATCTTTTATTCATTTGAGAATAAAATCAATACAGGCAGTGTATATAATCAATGAGTTGAATTAGGTTTTAAATGATCTTTAATTAATATGTATTGATTGACCCACATAAAGCTCTGCTTAATCAACATTTGAGAGAAAATTTTCATGAATTCTGATTATTGTTGTAATCTATACTAATAAAAATATATGGAAAAATGAAATTTTTGCGAGCAAATACGAAAAAATAAAGTTCTTGTGAATAAAAAGTGATTTACTGTAACAGTACTGTATAGATTTTCTGCAAACGCTGTGATGAGCAGCCTCTGCACACATATATTTTGGCATCATATCTTTTGCTTATAATTTACTAGGGAAGGCAATTTGAAACCTGTCAACCGAGTACTTGGTCGGAATTATCGTAATCAGTTGGAAAATCTGTAATGGGTTTGTCAGAAAACTATCCTTTGCAGTTATCTATCAAATTACATATTGTATATTATTAAAGAAATATTGTAAATTAAGCGATAGATCAGACTTAGATCTGATTATGTTGACAATGCAGAATAAACTTGTGTGACATCTGGTCTGTCAGAAACTATTGATGTCTGGTGATATCTCTATCATGTTTCATGGTTTTCTAAATTTTTTTGTTTTCATTTGAAATGAAAATAAAATATATCATAATATTCAGATTAAACAAACACAGAAGGTCACTATGTGTAGTACCTTTTCAAAAGTTTTCTTGCATTATATGAATAGAGCTTACTTGAAAAGAAAATTGTCAAGAAAATGTGTATTTCGATGCAGTTAACCAGTTAATCGATGGGAACGTCTTGCTGTTAACTGAATAGCAATTCTGTATTCGATTGCCATCCATATCATTTTTACATAAGTTTTATATTAGAAATGATTAAGACATTTATTATACTTGTAGAGAAGACTGGGAGAAACTGCTTCGCATCGTTAGATGTGAAATAATTAGCAAGAAAAGCAATGACGATATGGATGCCTATGTACTGAGGTGAGATAAATATAGATTTGTAAACAAGCCAGCAGAGTGGAATGTATTTGACCCTATATTACAAATAACTGACCGAGATTTTAGATTCAGTGAATGCATACTTAGCTGTCTGTAACCCTGACCTGCTGCTTTTAATAGTAACAGTCAATGTATATGCAGAATACAAAACAAGTGCAGGAGAAATATTTTTGTATGTCTGGTCCTTGTTGAATTCACAAAAAGGGGGGGATTGAGGAGGATCAATAAAGTTATATTCATCACCATCACAATATTGAAACAGCTACAGTCACTTGTCAAGATAGATCAATTAACTTGGCAGAAGCAGAATTAAAAAACATTGATAGCTTTTTAGCTGAAGGCTCAATTAAGAGAGCTGTTGTATCAAAAAATGTTAAATGTCCTTCCATATGTCTTTTGTTTACTGTCTGTAAATTTGTCTAATTTTTGACCTGCTTGCTATCCACCTGCCAGTTTAAACCAAACTTGCCACAAAGTGACTTGGTTGAAGGGGGTATAAATTTGTTGAATGGAGGAACACACCCTTTTTATAAGGGAGATATTATTATAAAGACCAATGGGACAACTAAAAAATCTCGAGAACTATGGGACCAGAAAAGTCAAAATTTATGTGAAAGCTTTTTAGCTCTTCTGAGCCAAAGGCTCAAAGAGCTAATGCTATGGCCATTTGTGCGGTGTGTGTAAACTTTTTAGAATATGGGCCATAACTCAAGAACCCCTTGGCCAATTATTGTCAAATTTGTCACAGGGTATCCTTGGCCCAAGGGCTCCCTTTTATACTAAAACTGGGGTTGTGACCCTTTAACAAGGGGAGATAATTAGGAAAATAGAAAAAAAAGTACTGGTTGCTAAAAAATCTTCTTCTCAAGAACCACTGGGCAGATTATCACCAAACTTACACAAAAGGATGAGGATATGTTGTAGATTAAAATTTGCACGGGGATTTACCCTGGGGCAAAGGGCGTGGTCTCAAGGTCACTTCAAAGTTGACAAAAAATTACATTTTATTAAAATGTTGATATTTTGCTTACTATAAGGACTAGGATCATCAAATCTTGTCAGTTGGTGCATCTAAGGACCTCATATCATGTTGACTCAAAAGTAGGTCACGGTGACCTACTTTTTAAATTTTGTGGCCATTCTTTTTCAAAATGATTTAGAGGCATATTTTGAACAATTTAAGGCCTATGATCATCAAACTTTGTCAGTTGATGCATCTTGGGTCCTCAAAGTACGTCAACTAAAAAGTAGGTCACCTTGACCTACTTTTTGAATTTTATGGCTAATCTTTTTTAAAACAATTAAGGTCATTAATTCGAATACGGGGAGGCTTAGAATCATTAAATCTTGTAAGATGATGCATCTTGGGGCCATAAAACATATTTATTAAAAAGTAGGTCACAGTGACCTACTTTTTGAACTTTGCAGGCATTCGATTTCAAAGCGTTTTAGAGGCATAATTTGGACATTTTAAGTCCTATGATCATAAAACTTTGTAAGTTGATGCATCTTGGGTCCTCAAAAAAGGTCAACTGAAAAGTAGGTCACCATGACCTACTTTTCAATTTATATGACTATAATTAAATATTTCAGGTACTAATTGGCTTAGAATCATCAAACTTTGTCAGTTGATGCATCTTGGGTCTTCGGAGTAGGTCGACTAAAAAGTAGGTCACCGTGACCTACTTTTAAAAATTTATGGCTTTAATTAAATATTTCGGATACTAATTGCCTTAGAATCATCAAACTTTGTCAGTTGATGTGTCATGGGTCTTCGGAGTAGGTCGCCTAAAAAGTAGGTCACCGTGACCTACTTTCGGAAAATTTATGGCTTTAATAAAATATTTCGGATACTAATTGGCTTAGAATCATAAAACTTTGTCAGTTTATGCGTCATGGGTCCTCAGAGTACAACAACTGAAAAGTAGGTCACGGTGACCTACTTTTGAAAATTTATGGCTTTAATCAAATATTTCGGGTACTAATTGGCTTAGAATCATTAAACTTTGTCAGTTGATGCGTCTTGGGTCCTCGGAGTACAACAACTGAAAAGTAGGTCACGGTGACCTACTTTTGAAATTTTATGGCTGTATTTAATATTTTCAGGAATTATTTGGCTTAGAATCGTCAAAATTTGTCAGTTGATGCATCTTTGGTCCTCGGAGTAGGTTGACTGAAAAGTAGGTCACTGTGACCTACTTTTGAAAATTTATGGCTGTAATTAAATATTTTGGGTACTTATTGGCTAGAATCATCAAACTTTGTAAGTTGATGCGTCATGGGTCTTCGGAGTAGGTCGACTAAAAAAGTAGGTCACCGTGACCTACTTTCGGAAAATTTATGGCTTTAATAAAATATTTCGGGTACTATTTGGCTTAGAATCATAAAACTTTGTCAGTTTATGCGTCTTGGGTCCTCGGAGTACAACAACTGAAAAGTAGGTCACGGTGACCTACTTTTGAAAATTTATGGCTGTAATCAAATATTTCGGGTACTAATTGGCTAAGAATCATTAAACTTTGTCAGTTGATGCGTCTTGGGTCCTCGGAGTACAACAACTGAAAAGTAGGTCATGGTGACCTACTTTTGAAATTTTATGGCTGTATTTAATATTTTCAGGAATTATTTGGCTTAGAATCGTCAAAATTTGTCATTTGATGCATCTTTGGTCCTCGGAGTAGGTTGACTGAAAAGTAGATCACAGTGACCTACTTTTGAAAATTTATGGCTTTAATTAAATATTACAGGTACTAATTGGCTTAGAATCATCAAACTTTGTCATTTGATGCATCTTGGGTCCTCGGAGTAAAACAATTGAAAAGTAGGCCACTTTGACCTACTTATAAAATTTTATGATTATAATTTTAAAAAACATTTTAGGTATTAATTGGCTTAGAATCATCAAACTTAGTTGATGGGTCCTCAGAGAATGACAAGTGATAAGTAGGTCACCATGACCAACTCTCAGGTACTAATTGGCATAGAATCATCTTGGGTTCTCAGAGTGTGAATTGGAATTTCAAGGGTTTATGTAAATATACAGGATACTCCGAAGCTTCAAATAGAAGTGATAGGTTGTACAGTTTATCAGAAGAGCAATTCAAGGCCCATGGGCCTCTTGTTATTAAATGAAATCATGAATAGTGCTGAAATAGAGGAGTCAGAGTTATATAATATATAGAAAAGGGGCTAGGATAGGACTGGCATAGTGGCTATCAGGTTTATATATGTAGATATTTTACAAGATTTTAAGGTATATATATGCATATTTTAGTGAGAGCAGTATGTTTGTGACCAAGTCACGTTTCATCCTCAAGACTTGTGGACGAACCACCTTGCTGCTGGCTGTGGAGCCCCTGATAGGCTTAGTGAAGGAGCAGTGCGGGTTCACTAAAGTACTTGTAAGCTTTTTTTCTTCAAATAATTGAAATTTAAATATCTAAGGTCTAAGCACATCACTTTCCCTCCTAGTTAGAAAAATCTGTGTCCTAAGACACAGATTACAATAGCTGAAAACATCCCACATAGCTGCAATGTAGCAAAACTGAGAAGATATGATCTGGCATGATTTTGAAGGATTTAAATGGTAAGGCACTGAAAATAAGTGCAATATAGATCTATCGAAACAAAGATTTTTGTGTGTTTATTAAAGAATTATCAATATTAAGGACTTAAAACCACAATACCTATGATGTTTAACTGATGCGTCTTTCTTGTTTCTTGAATATTAATATATTTTGAATATTTATTTGTTGTGATGATGAGAACATTAAAAAATCCTTCCATTTAGAAGGTAATACTCACAAGGATTTTTTACTAATTTTTTTTTATTGGCTGATGAAATTTGAAAGTGGTTCAGATGTATCTTTTCAATTTGAAACCTTTGGAAAATCCTTCATTGTGTAACAGTAAAAATGTCTTTAACACATTAAATTTCTGAAACAGCTAGTGCCAAAAGAGGAGCTGAAAACTTTTAAATTTTAAAAAAAAACTGGATATATCAGGATATATCATGTGTTTTATATAAAAGGAGATAGAATCCTTTATGCTAAAAGTGGGTGATATATCGTGTTATTTATAATAATGTCCATATCAAAAAGATTTTTATTAGTTTGACTTCAAAATTTTATAATAACTTTACCCTTACCCCTCAGATTTTGTCCAACTGAGACAAGTTGACCATTGAACATTTATTCATTTTCATTCACACATTGTAGGATGTTTTCTACTCAAGGAAGAAGTTTTCTAAGCCTGAACAACAGCACACGATTCACCAGAACTTTGAAGAGGAGGTGTGCCATCTAGATAAGCTGTTCAAAAGTAAGGGTTCAAGATTTACTTAGATAAGCTGTTCAAAAGTAAGGGTTCCATCTTTGTCTAGATAAGCTGTTCAAAAATAAAGGCTCAAGATTTACCTAGATAAGCTGTTTAAAAGTAAGGGTTCCATCTTTGTCTAGATGAGCTGTTCAAAAGTAAGGGTTCAAGATTTACCTAGATAAGCTGTTCAAAAGTAAGGGTTCAAGATTTACCTAGATAAGCTGTTTAAAAGTAAGGGTTCTATCTTTGTCTAGATAAGCTGTTCAAAAGTAAGGGTTCAAGATTTACCAAGATAAGCTGTTCAAAAGTAAGGGTTCCATCTTTGTCTAGATAAGCTGTTCAAAAGTAAGGGTTCCATCTTTATCTAGATAAGCTGTTCAAAAGTAAGAGTTCCATCTTTGTCTAGGTAAGCTGTTCAAAAGTAAGGGTTCCATCTTTGTCTAGATAAGCTGTTCAAAAATAAGGTTCCATCTTTGTCTACATGATCTAGATAAGCTGTTCAAAAGTAAGGGTTCAGGCTTCATATAGATAAGTTGTTCAAAAGTAATGGTTCAAGCTTCATTTGTATGTAGTACATCTACATGTGTGATTAGATCTTGACATAATTAAATAATCTTTAAACAAAAACAAAAGGGTGAATAGATAATTATTTTATACTTTTTATGAATTAGTTTGATCTTCAACTTCATTAATGCAATTTGATTGAAAGGTGCTAAGGCCAAAAAAAATAATAGTCTTCTTTCCTGCTACCCGACCTACCCTATTTTTTTACACCCGACTCTAGAGTTTTTTTCAAGTTTTGGGAGAAAAAAAATCGGGAATTTCTGGAATTTCATCGTTCTGTCACTGTAATCGGTTTCCATGTTAACACAAAACAAGCATTTCATGAAATTCTTGTTTTAAATATGGACTTTCATAAAATACCACTTGAGTTGTGCATAAAAGACATGATCAATTTTAAAAGACAATGTTGACCTGTGACTTGTTTAATTTTATCTTGTATTAGTTCATATCCAAAAAATGCTGCCGGAAAAAAATAAAATAAAAATATAAAATAAAATAATTTTCCTGCCTACCTACCCTATTTTTTTCAGGCTGGTAGCAGGAAACAAGACTATTATTTTTTTTTGGCCTAAAACATATGGTATATTAATTTTTGGTAAAATAAGACTTCTGATTCACTATGCATTTTAAATACAAATTTGTTTGGAACTAATTGTGTATACATGTATTTACTTTGTTTTCAATAGATGGGGCTGCTTATACACTGGGAAGAGTAAATAAAGATTGCTGGTAAGATTTGATATGGTGAGGAAAACTCACACTTTAGTACACTAATTAGACTTTCAAACATTTCAAATAACAAACATAATGCAAATTAGATAATTACATATAAAAATAGTAGATGTAAGTATATGTGTTTATAATTTATTTAGAAAAAAATTAACAAGAATATAAAGAATTTCCACATACATGTAAATATATGGATTTATCATTGCAGTGTTCAATTTTCATTTTGAATTGTTATTTTCACTTCGCTGAGTAGGAGATGATTTGGAAATTTAAACTTGTTTAAACTTTGGAGCTAAAATTCTAATATTATTAATAAGAAAAGAATACCATTATTTTGTAAAATCAGCTTGACTGTTTTGTTTAGATCATGTATTCTAGAATAATAGAATTATTATTTAAGTAAGAAAACAGATGTATATTAAACGGCAACATAATGATATGGAAGAAACTTCTACTTGATACACATAACATTTTACTTTATAATGAATATGTGTTTTATCACTGGCAATTTGGTGATTGCTTTGTTTTGAATTGTTCTGAGTAAAACAAAGAAATTTTTTATTTCTTTGTTCCTTATGACTAGGTGCATGGAAGACTGCCAAGGGCAACAACCCCTGTCGCACCTCTGAGCGTGTTCAGATGCAGCACGGTTATTACAAAATGCACTGGTTTGAACGTAAAGCTTTATTCATAAACCCAGTCTCCATTTTCAAATGAAAAATTCCAAATTTGACCTCTCCCACCTTTGACCTTTGAGGGTCACATGATCTAGTCACATGACTGGGGTTCAGATAAGCTATATATCAGCCAGACACGTTTTGTGGTAGCCAAGGTTGTAATCTCTCATCTTTTTTTATTCATAGACACAGTTAATTTGTTTGCACATTATAGATAATTTTATCTTTTTAATGTCACGATAAGCAGTCATATGATTTATATCATATGTAATTGCCTTTATATTATCTTTAAAAATAAGTACATGTAAAGTTTAAAATTAAAAAAATAGCCTTTATATAATTTTAATGATGGTAAAATACAGTTTAAATGAAAAAAAATATCATTATAAAAATGCTGCTAATTGAAGTAATGATGGAATTCTTTTGGTGAATTATTTATGTGTATTTCAATACTTAGTCTCATGTTACAGGCACCTGTACACCATGGATGCTGTAGGAGTTATGGAACCTGATCAAACTGTGGAAATATCCTTTTAGTTTAATATTATCAATACATAGCCCAATCCACTGTCATTAATGAAGTCTATTGGTCCATTGTTATATTTTTTCAAACAACTTTTTTTTGTGTCAGGTGATACAGATTCCCAATAGGGTAAAAAAAGCAATATAGTAAAGTGATTTGAATTAGTTGCATGGAATAAATGGTTCTTTCATTTAAACATAGCAATTTATGTGACATGCAGTTGAATCCCAGTAGTTTTTAGACAAATTAAATATCATGGATATGTAGAAGTGAGGGGGAGTTCCTGAATGTTATAGGAATTGGAGACTCCATATCAACATCTCAAACCCATGATTTCTCAAAGTTGTTTTAACCATCCTGCCTTATTTGGATATTTTGACGAGACATTATTTGTAACATTGTATAATAGAATTTATTTGATTCTATGAAAGGGGTTTTACACTGCATCCACAATGTTTCTATGTCTTCCTTAACTGTGTCACCTTTTGATGTGGGAAATGTGTCCTGAAACAATGAAAATTTTCACCAAGAAGATGTGCAAGGATGGACCAGAGGCCACCAAAGTAAGTTTGGACTTTGGCAAGTTCTTGTTTTATTACCATGATATTCTGCTATCACCGCTTGATTTTATTATCAACATTTTGCTGAAAAAAAAAACAAAAACAAAACTAAAAATCAACAAGAAAAGAGTATAATGTACTCGGTAGACATAATTTGTAGCTTCCTTGGGAATGTTGTATTAATTATCTGGAATGTCTGTGGACACAAGAAATATTTATCAAATGTGACAAAGTCTTCATATTTTCAGTCTTCATAAAGCAGACCTTTCTAAGATGGAAGTTATCTTCCTTAGTAAAATACATTTTGTGATCTTCTTTTATGTCCACCATGTTAACATGGGTAAAGGTTCATTGTTGTACAATATTTGGAAGACCTCACTAAACTTCTGCGGTTCTCTGATAGCTTTTGTTCTGATTTTTCAGAAATCGGGAATCTGTGACATCATTCCTGGCGTCCAGATCGACGACTTCCTGTTTGATCCCTGTGGTTACTCCATGAATGGCTTGCTGCCAGGGGTTAGTCTTAAGAGTTGTTTACAATCTGGATATCGTGTATCCCAAAACCTTGAAGTCCCTTTCATAAGATTCAATTGTTTAAAGAGTGTAATTCAAAATGTCTAATCTGGCCAATTTTTGTGCAACTAGTAATTGTATCAGGATTAGATAAGTTTTACTGTATATCTTTAATTAAGCACTTAATATGTTAAATTGCTATACAATCCACTGGTGTGGCATCTCTTTATTTTCACCATGGTACATTTAGGCTTTAAAATTCAGTCAAATTAGATATTTATAGGAGGGCAGAAGAAACTAAATGCTCTATTTATATGATTTACTACCGTTGAATTATTGATTGACCAGTATGATTGTTTTTGGATATTTGAGTTGTTCTGTATAATTATTTAGTATTTAATTGAACTGACTAATGTTGTGACCTTTTCAGGGTTACTATATAACCATCCATGTGACCCCAGAACCCCATTGTTCTTATGTCAGCTTTGAAAGTAATGTTCCACAGGTGAGAATGTATTGTACTTCATTGAAATGTCTGACGATTATATCCTAAAGTATCAGGATAATAATAGTTAAAGGTGAATTTCATTACAAAAAAGTGTTGACTTATAAGGCCAAAGTTTTTATTTTTTTTTTGGTTTACAATTTTCTGTCTCAAAAAAATGCATTGGGTGGTCGAAAAATAAAAATAAAAATAATTTAGGATTCAACAATTTCATTTTATTTATACCAGCAATATTTATTTTAATAAAGATAATACACGTCAGTAGTACTTTTAAGTTTTATTGTCTAGATCACATAACTTTTTACTTAATTTTAATTCATTTCTAACTTTAGACTGAATATCATTTTCATTTACTAGTTCAGATTTTTGTTTGTCAATCAGTGCTTGGTTCCTATTTTGGGAAACACCATTTTTGGGGAATTGGGAAAAAATTATCGGCTATATGATGAAATTGGAAAATTTTTTAAAATGTTGCTTAAATCATGTATTCAGGGGTAATTCATTTAACATTTCAGCATGAACTCTAATTTGGGCAACCCAACGACAATTAAATATGATCCATCTTCATCATACAAGATCAATTATGATTAATAGACTAATAAAAGTAAAATGGACTTCAATGAGTATAAAGTATTTATACAACTTAGGGTAATACATGTATACATGTGTGTATGAGATTTCAATTTAGGTCATTATAGTATCTGTTTCTGGAGATTTATAAAAACCTCCTGCAAAAAATTATGCTAAGTACACATTTTCTCAAAGTCCTTTTTAAATATGTATTAATGCATTGAAAATATATTTTTCTATCTGAAATCATGCCTAAAGTCCTTACCATTCACTCGCAGATCAATGGAGTAGGTGGAAATAACTTAATAAATCTATATAATTACACAATATCATTTTTAGAAAAACGGAGGAAATTCGGATTAAAAGTTGGCGATGTTTTTACAGTGTTTTTAAACATGTGTTATGACTCTAGCTTTGCTAAATGAGTTAAATAGATGAAATTTACAGACAATCTGACAATTTTACTTTTTTCCAGAGATAATTAAAAATAAAAGCATGGTTCACCAATTGGGAAAAAACATGCCAAACTGGGAAAAACTTAACTCATTTTCAATTGGGAATGGGGCCGAATTTCGGCCCATGAGAAGGCACTGATAAATCCCTGTTATCTATAGGTGTATCCATGTCTGCTAGGTCGATCAGGGTTGGGCATACACTCTCCAATATTACGGTATGAATTTAGCCAATTGAGACATCGCAGTTAGAGAAAGGGATCATGCATCCAAGATTTTATTCACTTTTCCATGCAGAAAAAGTTCTTTTAAGTGTGTGTCATTGCTTTCAGTGAGGAATTACCTTGTTACATGACAGAACCGCCATTTTGTTTATTTACGGTCACCTAAATGTTAGTAAAGGTCTCATATATTTATAAGCGCTTATTTGACTAAGTTGAATTCTAAAATTTAAAACCCACCAGTTCAGCTGAGAAAAATCCGGAAAAAAAATGTGGGAAAAAGACATTATTTTTATTTTCATGATTGGTGAAAATTAGGGTCGGTGGAATCGTAAACCAAAAGAAAAAAAAACTTTGGCCTAAATAATATTATAACATAAAAATCTATTCTTGAGCAGTTTCTGCATTTGTGTTTATACAAGAACGTGTATGGGTTGAATTGTAAATTAATTTTTTAGCAATATTAAAACCAACTACAACAAAATCTTTGAAAACAACAATTATTCATGTATAGCTAAATTGAGGATCTATCATTTTATAGGAGAACTACATGGAACTGATGAAGAAGGTTCTTGACACGTTCAAGCCTGGCAAGTTCTTGATGACTGTCTTTGCAAACAAGGTAAAAAAGAATATGAACATCTGTACACCATGTTTGCCACTATATGTTTCTTCAGCACTAAATTTTTACATGAGAAGAAACTGTTTTAGACAATATTTTTAACAATAGATGTGCCCATTGTCATGAATATTTTAGCTCATGTTTGATATAAAATGTGTAAGTGAGCATATAATTTGAATATCCCCTCATAAGTACCACTACCATATCTTTTAGGAGTCTATCGCCAAGGACAGCCACAAGCAGTTGGAGGATAAAGACTATGTCCCCGGCTACTCCAGGGCTGACCACCAGTTCTGTACCTTCAAGAACTACAATCTGACCTACTCCCACTTCACCCGCCCCATCATCTAGGGAATGGGGGCCGGGGGTTTGAGGTGTGGCTGCCTGTGTCTCCCTCCCTCTAGGCCCCCGCTAGCCTTGTTCAAGGCCATTTGTTTTTCCAATATTTGTTTGTATTTATCCTTAACCTGTGTTGTGTATGTAGTGTTTCTTTGGAATTCTCATCAGACTGTTTTGAAATATAGACTTCGGTTTTCCCTCTTCTCCCTTAAACCTAGATAAGTAGCCTTATCATTCTGCTTGTCAGTTATTAGGATTTAAATTTAACTTAATATAAAGACTCTATTATGTTGTCCACTTTCAGTTTTACACACATTTTAGTATAAGGAGAAAAATATATTGTTATGATTTGTTTTTTGTTCGTGATAAAATTTTTATATTTTGTGCCTTGTTCCCGTTATCATGATTATATGATTATGTTTTGGATTTCTTTTTAAAGTATCTTGTTATAATAAATTTTATTTTGACCTTGATTTCAAATTATATGTTGATATTCTTACCTTAATCTGTTTATCATGATCCCAATACTCAGTATGTATACAAGAAAATCAGAGGAATTCAATATGTAATGCATTCAAAATTTTATATTAGATGAGATATTAAGCTTTAAAAGTAAATTACCTGCAAAAGCAAAGAGTTCCGTGTTTATGTTTAGCTGGAGCCAAGGGCTCAGGTGAGAATTTTCTGATCAAGAAGACTCAAGTCTGTCTATCATCTGTTATATGCGATCTGTAAAATCATTTTCCACTCAGTTTTGCAGAAGCAGTGCACCATTTCCCCCCCAGTCTTGCCACAAACCTTCATTGATTGAAAGGGAATTTGTGGTGGCATATATATATGCCATCCACATATTTTTTTGTCAACAAAATATATTGCGTCAAGTCAAGATAACGATCTTGCCAAGTCAAAATACATGTAACTTACTGGTTTTGTCAAGATACACCAACTTTTATCTCCTCTAGTCAAGATAAGATACCACACAGGAATCAATTTTGTAGAAGTGAAGGTTTTAATTAAATTTTTTTTTCTAACGAATAGCTGTCATCTATGGAAGGGAGATTATAAACCTATATGAAAAATCAAAAGAGATGGGCGTATTTGATGTGTGATCTGCAGGAATCGAGTATGAAACAGTTCAAATGTCAATGATTTGGTCGGCAGACAACAGCTGGACAGACTTTACAAATTACGCACATAGCAAAATGTTACATTTACTTTGAAATTACATGTCAAATTAAAATATTTAAATCTGCTAATCAGATAACATAGTAACACTTCACATAAATAATAAACACGTATAGGATGAAGTTAAATACGGTTACATGTCAGTAAGTTTGAGAACTAGGTTTCCCTCTCGGTGCAAAAGAAGATGGACGTATGTAGCGTGTTATCTGCAGGAATCATCTATACGAAACATTAATAGTTTAAATGTCCACGATGTAGTCGGCTGACGATAGCTAGACAGACTTTTCAAAGTTACGTACATAGGATAATGTAACATTTAATTTGAAATATCTTGTCAAATTCTTATTTTTGTGTCCGCTAATTTTAATGTGTAACACAGTGATGCATCAAATAAAAAACACCCGTAAGATAATAAGGATATAGTTAAATGCAATTACAAGTACATGCGTATATAAAAGTATTAGTAGGTTGGAACACAATTAGTTGCGCTCTCGGTGCAACAGAACTAGAATTTATCTATTTTAAAATAAAACAGTACATAAAAATAAATTGATAAAAGAATTCATTGTTTTCACTAAAAAAAAAAAATATTTGAGTTCCACTTAAGGAAGCTCTAAACACTGATCACTAAAGAGTTCAAATTCCATGGTAGTTTTATGCGCTTAGAGTGATCTGCTCTTTGATGTAAAATGGAATACATGGAACTCTACATTAAATGACACAATTTAAAATAGATTAAAGCATTCTTGATATCATATTAGACCAAGATAAAGTAATTGAGAACATTATTTTCAAGTACTTTCCCAATTTAACTAAACAGAGGTGATTTCAGTTCAATAATACTTCATTGTCTTTGAACATTTTTTCTGGAGAAATATGGCAGGTAACCTATGTTGAAAATGAAGTAGAAAAATTCAATATGTACATCTTTTTATGATAAAATTTTCTCAAAGTCCAAAAAACATTTTATGTTAGTGCTAAGAGCTTCCTTAAGGATCGAACCACAAAATTTTCCATTCCATTGCACTAAGACGGGTAACGCATACAACTGAGCTATCATCGCTACACACACGTACATTTTTAAACACTTTTTTCTAAAAATTTGCTATCTCTAGGTCATCTCTCCATAATTTTGAAACGTTATTTGTGTGCATTTATTTTTCATTCAGAGAAACTAACAAGCATTTGTATATAATGGAGAGAAGACCCAAACACGATAAGAAATGGACTTTTTCCGGAAAAAAAAAAAAAAAAAAAAAAAATCCAACGCGTAAATGCGGTGCTTCATTGTCGTTTTTAAAACCATATACACATGTAGCATGAGGAAGTTGCTCCCAACACTTTTCGTGTTAAGGAATTTGTCTCAAAGAAAACAAAATAAATTTTCTAGCCGAAAGATGCCCGTATATCGTTGAACTTTAACACATATATGTTCCAATTTTAAACCTGTCACGTGACAAACAGCTGATGTAAGTGATGTCGCTTTGGCCAAACTCAGCAGAGACACGATATATACGAATGCAAACACCACAATTCACATTTCGCGTTATCAAACCTAATGCTGTTAAAAAAATAATAAAATTGTATTCATTTTCCCTAAATATATGAGGCGTATATTTCATGGGCGTCTTTAACCTAGCTGCAAATGAAGCACCACATTTAAATATTGGAATATTTTTTCGAAAAACTGAAATTTTTATGGTCTCTGGGTCTTCTCTCCATTTTTACTAATGTTTGTTTCTTTGAACTAAAATGCACACAAATAACGTTTCAAAATCATGGAGAGATGACCCAGAGATAGCAAATATTTAGATTGATTGATATTGTATGTTGTTTTACGCCCCATTTGAGAATTTTTCACTCATAGAGACGTCACCATATACCGGTGAAGGACCTTTACTCGGCACTCAGGGCCATTGAGCAGCAAGGATTCTTTACCGTGACACGGGGCCTCGGTTTTTAAGGTCTCATCCGAAAGACCCGCAACTTTCACTTCAAAGTGCCGAGCGCTTGGCGAAGGAACAGTTGGTACCTATTTTTTTATCGACTTAAGTCAGTCGCGGCCGTGATTCGACACACGACCTTCCGATCACGGAGCGAGCGCTCTACCGACTGAGCTACCGTGACGGCAAAATGCAAAGTTGAAAAGGCGAAGTAACAAAAAGTGCGAAACGCAATGATGCGAAGTCAAAGGAGCGAAAATGTGAAGACTGGAAGGCGAAAATGCAAAGATGCAAAGGCTAAGGAACGAGACTGCATCGCCACTTCCCCTTGCATCTTCGCCTTTGCAACTTCGCATCTTTGCCCTAAAGGCGAAAGTGACAAGGTGCGCTTGGCCCCATCAGAACACCATAATATGTGCCTACCCTCAATCAGCATATTTTCGCCCCATAATTAGGGTAACATAACTTAAGGATTTCTTTTAGTTTTGTGAATGCTATTAATGTGTAAATCACGCAGACTTGTAACTCAAGTATATTTCGTATATTTAGCGCAATAGTATGTGTTTTTGTTGTGTATACATGTATTTTGAAATATTTTATATGTTTATAAACAAAAAATGTATTCTAATCGAAAATTATTTCAGTTTTCATGAGATTGCGAATTCACTAAAAACAAATCAATGTGTTTTTTTTTGTTGTTATTTATTATTATTATTTTCTTCTTCTTCTTATTTTGTTTTTATGTTGTAAAATTGTCATTTTTAACTCTAATAAAATTCTACATTTAAAATATGTTGCACAATGAAGAGGGAAAATGGTGCAAATAACATGATAAATATAAATTCATAAAAATACCATCTCTCTCTCTCTCTCTCAAACTCCCATAGATACCTTTGGCGTCAAACTGTGCTGTTCGCAGTACATATTGTCTTTGGAAGGTGTTTTGTTGCATCATTCATCAGGGAGGAAAAAAGGCTTGACTCGGTGTCAATATGTACTGATGAACGACAATCTGTGCAGTAAAAGTAGTAGGAACATATTGTCGCCGGTGACACTATGTTCTGGGCGACCAGATATACTGTCACATCATTGTGATATAAGTGAGTGGCTGTAGTGTCTTTCAGAGAGAAGTTCGAGTAAAATCCTTCAAAACTCACAGATTTGCAGAACCGCAGAATTCCGAAGAAAATTATTCGCTTTCACAAAATTTCAAAAACTTGCAGAAAACTTCAAGCTTATTGGTAATTTGGTTTTCTCCATTAATGTTATCTGTATCTGAAGGGATCATTGTTTTAAACGAATTTTATGTTAAAACAAGATGTGTTTGTGAAACACTGATGCCCCCGTATGGCAACTTATAGCAAAGGTTAAATTTTCTCAAATGCTAATCAAATATGTTGGTACCCAAAGTAAGGTCTTGTCTCGAGGAATATACCTGTGAAATATGAGAGCCCTAGCAGCAACCATTGAACAGATATGGAAAAGGTTAAAGTTTCTCAAAAGTAAGTCAAACATCAAGGTCAAGGTCAAATGGTAAAAAATAATGGTGCCTAAGGAAAGGCCTTCTCACAAGAAATATACTGGTGAAATACGAAAGCTGAAGCACCAATCGTTCAAAAGTTATGACCAAGGTTTAAGTTTTCCAAAAGTACGTCAAACTCCAAGGTCAAGGTCAATGGATTACAATTGTTGGTATCCAAAGGAAGGCCTTGTCACAAGGATTACATATGTGAATCTTGAAAGCCCTAGCACCAACGGTTCAAAAGTTATGATCAAGGTTAAAGTTTTCCAAAAGTAGGTCAATCTCCAAGGTCAAGGTTAAAGGGTCAAAGTTGTTGGTTTCCAAAGGAAGGTCTTGTCAAAAAAATTACACATGTGAAGTATGAAAGCTTTAACTCCAACTGTTCAAAAGTTATGGCCAAAGTTAAAGTTGGGTAAAATTTTGTAAAACTCCAAGGTCAAGGTCAAAAGGTCAAATATGGTGGTACCCAAAGAAAGATCTTGTCACAAGGAATACACATGTGAAATATGAAAGCCATAGCTCCAACCAATCAAAAGTTATGGGCAATGTTAAAGTTTTTACAGACAAACAGACAGACAGACAGCTAGACAGACGAACGGACAGGGCAAAAACTATATACCCCCGAATCTTCGATACGGGGGCATAAAAAATGTCGTCATGAACAAATTATTAAATAACTTTTACGCATGAGTAGTGTACTTGTGCACCTAAAATGTCGCAATGCGAATACATAAGACCGAACAATATTATGGTTCATTTTTATTGATATAAAACTGTAGCTTTATGATTCCTTTCATTGAAAAACTACTATTTAATTCAGAATCTTTTAATTTTATGGCGCCAGGTAAAGTAATAAAGTGTAAAAAGTGAAGATAGTGAACAGTGATCAATCTCATAAATCCAGTAAACAAAACGAATCGCGAACAGGTCAAACGCACGGATCAGAGGGTGGATCTGGTGCCAATGAGGAGTAAGCATCCCTAA